TAGGAATGTGAGCAGAGGCTCAAGGCCAAGCTGAGAGGGAGAAGAGCTCTCTGGAAAAATTGCTGCAATTTATACTGATTCAGGCTGCAATCTGTATTGTACTTAATATAATCCTCCTTCCCCTCCCAAATATATCTGAGGAAGATTACAGAAAGAAAACCAGGTTTGTTTGTTTGTTTTTTTAAAGATTTTATTATTTATTCATGAGAGACAGAGAGAGAGAGACAAAGAGAGAGAGAGAGAAAGAGAGAGAGAGAGAGAGGCAGAGACACAGGCAGAGGGAGAAGCAGGCTCCATGCAGGGAGCCCAATGTGGGACTCGATCTCGATCCCAGGACTCTAGGATCACACCCTGGGATGAAGACAGACACTTAACCACTGAGCCACCCAGGCGTCCTGAAAAACATGTTTTTTTTTTTTTTTTTTTTTTTTAATTTTTATTTTATTTATGATAGTCACACAGAGAGAGAGAGAGGCAGAGATACAGGCAGAGGGAGAAGCAGGCTCCATGCACCGGGAGCCCGACGTGGGATTCGATCCTGGGTCTCCAGGATCGTGCCCTGGGCCAAAGGCAGGCGCCAAACCGCTGCGCCACCCAGGGATCCCGAAAAACATGTTTTTAAAGAAAAACATTTTTTTTAATTTTTAAAATTTATTTATGATAGTCACAGAGAGAGAGAGAGAGAAGCAGAGACACAGGCAGAGGGAGAAGCAGGCTCCATGCACCGGGAGCCCGACATGGGATTCGATCCAGGGTCTCCCGGATTGTGCCCTGGGCCAAAGGCAGGCGCCAAACCGCTGTGCCACCCAGGGATCCCAGAAAAACATTTTCTAACAAAACTATCCAGCTAATTTTCAATCAAGCATCTTTTATTTAAGGCTTATAAAATATTTAGAAAAATGCTGGCTTTGGTCACACATGCTTTATTATCACTCAGCATTTCAGTTCGCAATAAGGAATTAAACTTAATTTCAATAATGATAAGAGTGGTCTGATGAAAAGTAGGGCAGCATAGGAAAACGGTGAATTACCATACTCAACTAATAAGATAATACTAGGGTTGAATCCATGGTGAATCAATATCTCCCTGATCATCGTATGATGTGCTTCTGGAACGTCACACTTTGGAAAACATTAAAATAGCAAAAGGTATGGTTATATAATAAGGAGAACTACCTTTGAGTTTTAATGAGTCAAGGTTTTGTTTTAAAACCATTTCACAGGAAGGTCATACAGATGATATGGGATGTGGTTCCATAGAGAACAAAAATTGAAAACCCCACAACTCATGTTCTAGGTCAGCAGTTTTCAAACTTTTTGGTCGCAGGACTCTTTCAGAATTGCATAAATTATTAAGAGCCCTAAAGAACTTTAAAAAAATGTGGGTTATATCTAAACATATTTATAGTAATACAAATTAAGGTGGAGAAACAAAAAAATTTATTAATAACAAGCCCATGTTAACATAAACAATGCATTTTATTTTATTATTTTTGTAAGATTTTATTTACTCATGAGAGACAGAGAGAGGGGCAGAGACACAGGCAGAGGGAGAAGCAGGCTCCCCGCAAGGAGCCCAATGTGGAACTTGATCCCAGACTCTGGGAATTACGCCCTGAGTTGAAGGCAGATGCTCAACTGCTGAGCCCACCAGGCATCCCAACAATGCATTTTAATAAGCATAGTTATGTGTTCAAATAAAAAGAAAACAGCAAGTGGGGTGTCTGGGTGGCTCAGCTGGTTACCTTCCGACTCTTCATTTTGGCTCAGGTCATGATCTCAGGGTGGTGAGATCAAGTCCCCTGTGGGGTTCTGTGCTGGGTATGGAGCCTGCTTAGGATTCTCTCTCCCTCTCCTTCTGCCCCTCCCCCACTCCTACTCGTTCTCACTCTCTTAAAAAAATAGATATTTGGTATTATTTCAGATTTTTGCAAATCCCTTTAATGCTTAGCTTAATGGAAAACTGCTGAATTCTCATACATGCTTCTGTAGTCAATCATGTACGCTGTTTCAGTTGAAGTATATAAAGAAAACCTGGCTTCATATACCTGGAAAAGCAAGAATGTGTATATATATATATATATATATATATATATTTTTTTTTTTTTTTTTTAAGATTTATTTATTTATTCATGAGAGACACAGAGAGAGAGGTAGACACATAAGTGGAGGGAGAAGCAAGTGCCTCGCAGGGAGCCTGATGCGGGACTCCATCCCGGATCCTGGGATCACCCCCTGAGCCAAAGGCAGATGCTCAAATGCTGAGCCACCCAGGTGTCCCAGACCCAGGTGTCTAAGTTTTTCAGATAATTATAGGTATTTTTCTTTATAAGTGGTAGTATCTTAAAAGTTAGTTGCAATGTAGAATCTGGAGGTATATCAATGAACTTTTTGTAGTCTATGAAAATCTTTTGGCCTGAGACACCTGGGTAGTTCAGTTGGTTCAGCCTCTGCCGTCAGCTCAGGTCCTGATCTCAGGGTCCTGGGATCAAGCCCCACATGTTCCTGCTTGTTCTCTCTGCCTTTCCCCCTAACTTGTGTTAGGGAGGGAGCCCGGCATGAGCTCCCTCTTTCTCCCAAATAAAATCTAGAAAAAAAAAAAAAAAGAAAGAAAATATTTTGGTTTAACTTGTATTTTGATTAAATATTTAACTCATGCATGATGTTGCAACATCATCCACTGGTCATTTGAAAATCCTGGTTCAATGAATTATGTAAAGATTTTATCGTTGACACACTTTATTATACAAAACCGTTTTTTTTTTGTTCTTAAACTTTCCTCTGCAGAAAAGTCTCAAGAATTAGTAAGCTGTCAAGTTTACAGTGGTAGATATGTTTTCTAAAATTCTTAATTTTTATTTAAAAGCAGCTTTTTTTGAGAGAGAGAGAGAGAGAGAGAGAGAGAGGGAGAAACTGTGGGGACGGTGTCAGAAGGAGAGGGAGAGAGAGACTCTTAAGCAGGCACGAAGCCTGACTTGGGGCTCAGTCTAATGACTGTGAGATCATGACCTGAGCTGAAATCAAATCGATTGAGTAAGCGACCCAAGTGCCTCTAAAACCTTTAGTTTTATCATTGGCAACATATTGCTAATGGTTTTCCTTAAAAGGACAGGCTGATTTCATTTTCAAGAAAATGTCTGTCAAATACCCAAGTCTGAATGACTAGAGTTTGGCAGTCATTCTTTCAAGCAAAATATGAACAGCTAGTTAAAAAATACATGTACTCAATGGTTAAACTCTAATAAAATTAATATTCACAATTCTTAAGGGAAATAGATAATTTTTTTTCTACTGCAAGTGCATGGCAGTGAGGAATAATGACTGCTAAAGCCCAAGAAGTTTTCATTTACTATTAATTTTACACTATCTGGGCAAATTCCAGCAGTAAAAAAGCAAATAGCAGTATTATTATAAAGAGCTTTGACTTTGCAGATACTCTGAAAGGTTCTTGGAGATACCCAGAGGACTATGGACCACAATTTGAGAACTGCTATGGTAGGAATTAGGATAAACGCAGAATAGAAAAACAATTAAGACATGATCCCTATTTTCAAGTTCATCCTCTAACAGAGGAAACCTACAGAGATTACAACATAGCTTTAGGGATACAAGAAATGGCAACAGTGGGGAGGACAGAGTAAAGACAAGCATGGACAGGTACTAGACAGGTAGGGTACTTTTGCAATGCAGACATGCAAGGATGAGGCCAGACCTGAGGTAGTGGCGAATGGGCAAAAGTTCAAAGTGGTGGGATTATTGGATGTGGTGACTGATTAAAAATATGAGGAATGAAGGGGAAAGGGCAACGGGGTGGAGAGTGGTGCCCTTCCTCCACAGGCATTACAGGCGGGCAGGGTGGCAGCCGGGCGGAGGAGGGAACTTCAGTTCGGGACTTACTGACCATGAAAAGAATGTTAGGCCTCTGGGTACACGTGCCCGGTAGGCAGTTAGATTCCCCTGCTCCCTGCCGCCGGAGGGCCCTGTGGTTTCCTCACGCAGTGCTGTGTCTGCCCGCCTCCCCACGCCCCGGCCCGCGCCCCCAGAGCCTACCTAGCACAACACGTAGCTCTTCACGGTGATCCATTAAATACAGGAACATGGTGGGGAGCTCGCGAGAGGAGTAAGAGAACTAAACTAGGTAGTCTTTATGTATGCATGCTTATCTGCGACCACAGGAGCGAGTGGCTAAGTGACTGTACCTGTAGGACTGAACTTCCGCTTTACAACCTTCCTAGCCAGAGTTCAGGGCCGTTCCTGGGAATGTGGCCTCCAAGAGTCGCGACGGCCTGTAAGAGACAAATTCACTGCGGAAAACCTGTTTCCGTATGATCCAGACAACAACCACGATTTGTTACCTTTATGCCGTGTACTTAATCCTGTCAGACTGGTTTTAATTGGGGTGGCACGGGACTGACCTCCTCGTCCCACCCTTCAGTGTGCAGACGGCGTCTTTCACACTCCCCTCTCGCCGACTACGCGGCCGGCTCTCCAAGGCCGGGGACCCGGACGCGCGGGCCCTGAGAGGCTGAGGCGCCGCGGCTCGCGAGCCCGGGCGGGGGGCGGGGGGCGGGGGGCGGCGCTCCAGCCGCGGGGCCGGCTGACGCCACATAAGCTGAGATCACCTCACGCGCGAGCGGTGCAATCACAGAGCGCGCCGCCGCCGCCGCCGGCCCCTCGCAGACCTCGCTCGGAGATCCCTCCGCCCGCCGGGTCCCGGCGCCGCGGGGGGTGCCCCGCACCCAGGGCACGCAGGCTCCGGCGGCCCGCGATCCTCAGGCGGTCGTCGCCTCTTAAACTCTCGTTCTCTTCTGTCTCTGAGCCACCCGTACCATAGGTGCCCCCTGCTTCTTCAGGGCCTCGGTCCTGGCGTAAGGAGACCTCGGCAGTACGGAGGCCAGCTAGGGGGCGTGGCCAGCACCAGGCCCCGCCCCCTTCGGTGACGCGCCGGGTGGCGCGCGTGGGAGCCGAGAGTGGGGGGTGGGACTGGGTTTAGTAGGAGACCTGGGGGCCGGGGCCGCTTGCGGACGCCCATCAGCCGGCTTCACTCGCTCCGTCTGTTCGGAGGGGCGGCGGCGACCTCGGCCTCCAGCGTCTCTGGCGAGCTGTAGCGGCTGCTCCGCGGTCAGGATGATGTTGCTGGGCTTACTGCAGGCGGGCGGGTCGGTGCTGGGGCAGGCGATGGAGCGGGTGACCGGCGGCAACCTCCTATCCATGCTGCTAATCGCCTGCGCCTTCACGCTTGGCCTAGTCTACCTGATTCGCCTCGCAGTCGGCCACCTGGCCCCCCTGCCTGCCGGGGCGGTATGTGCACCCCAGGGAGTTCGGGCAGCGGCCACCGAGGCCTAAGGGCTAGGGGGAGAGGGGACCTCAGCAGTGCTCAGCTGGGCGGCGGCGGTGGGCACACTGGGGACTGGGAGGCGGCTGCAGCTCTGCTGCTTGTGGCGGTCGCGGCTGCCTTGGCCTTGCTGGCCTGGGTGCTGGGGGGACCCTGTAGTCTGTCGCGGTTCCGGCGGTGGCCGCGTGTGGTCGTGGGGGTCGTGCTTGCCGCATTCGTGGTCCTAGGGACGGCTGTGCTGGCCAAGGTGCTGGGGCCCCTGATGGCCGTGGCCAGATTGGTGGCTGTGGCTTGAGCGCCCTGGTGGCTGTACTGGCCACCACAGTGGTGGTACAACCATCGGCAGCTGCGGCCCTGGTGGCCGTCATCTTGGTCCAGTGTCCTGTGGGCTGTAGTATTGCCCCTAATGGTGACTTATATCAATACGAAGGGGGGGGGTGTTTGGTAGTGTGGGAGTGAAGGGACTGTCCCTTCTTATGATGCTAACGAAGTATCAGTTTCTTTAATTTAGTGTCTTTATTGACCATTAGCTTCATACTTACCTAATGTAGTTGATGAATGTATTTTTTTTTAAGATTTTATTTCTTTATTCATGATAGACACAGGGCCGTGGGTGGGGGGTGGGCAGAGACACAGGCAGAGGGAGAAGCAGGCTCCACACAGCGAGCTTGATGCGGGACTTGGGGACTCCAGGATCACGCCCTGGGCCAAAGGCAGGCGCTAACCCGCTGAGGCACTCAAGGATCCCCTGATGAATGTGTTCTTAACCAGCCAACACCAAGTAGCTTTTAAAACTGCCCTTTCACTGACAATGGAATGTAGAAACTATTGACCAAGTAGTTTGTAAAACCTGGGACATCTAAAGTACCTTTTATATAAAAGTGAGTGCTAGGGATTTCCTCCAGAGCTGATTTACTCTCTAAAACCAGTAGATGAGGGGTGCTGGGTGGTGGTTCAGCATCCCACCCTTCATCTCAGCTCAGGTCTTTTATTTTTTTTTATTTTTTTATTTTTTATTTTTATTTTTTTATTGGTGTTCAATTTACCAACATACAGAATAACACCCAGTGCTCATTCCGTCAAGTGTCCCCCTCAGTGCCCGTCACCCATTCACCCCACCCCCTGCCCTCCTCTCCTTCCACCACCCCCAGTTCATTTCCCAGAGTTAGAAGTCTTTATGTTCTATCTCCCTTTCTGATATTTCCCACACATTTCTTCTCCCTTCTCAGCTCAGGTCTTGATCTTAGGGTGGTGAGTTCAAGCCCCTTCCTGGGTGTGGAGCCTACTTAAAAAATAAAAAATAAAATCTGTGGATGAGATGTGTCCTGTTTCCTGATAAATGTAGCTTCTTGAACGTTTCATGTCTTTCTATACCTCAAATCACTGTCTTTTTCTGTACCTTCTTTATACCTTTTTAAGGCAAGATTCTGGAACTAAAATTGTGAACGGTAGTGGTCAAGACAATATAGTTTGATTTTCCTGGTTTTTCATCCTGCTAATGGTTAAGAAAGTTGCCTAGAGCCACCAGTAAATAATATTGGACATATTCTGGACAGTGCTCAGCATGTGTAATTTCAATACTTTGTGTTTGTGTAGTCATTTATCTTAAATGATGTTTTGAGTTTCTACTCTTTTTACTATTGTCCTCTCCTATGATATATGCAGTTTGGCTGTTAAGTTACTGTTGATGCTTTATTTTTTAGTAACTTTTTAGTATTAGTGGTAAATTTCATTTGTTTATTCATGAAATTAAGTTGGGTTTCTCTCAAAATGAAATGTGAACCCCAAATTTTTTGTTTTTTCTTGCAGAAAAGTCCACCATACATTTTCTCTCCAATTCCATTCCTTGGACATGCTATAGCATTTGGGAAAAGTCCAATTGAATTCCTAGAAAATGCATATGAAAAGGTAAGTCTTCCAAATAATACAGGAAGAAAAATTAGTGCTTTTCAAACTTTTTTTGGATGGCAGAACACTAAAAACAGTGCGATCTTATGCTTATCCCCCAGTATAGGAAACTGATTAAATTGGAGCTGCTCCTCTAAGAGCTGGAAGGGTCTTGGAGACTCTCTTAACCAATCCCATGTCCTGGGTGATCTCACTGTACTTACTAGTCATAGTTAAAATTGATAACTGACTGACCCTTCTTTTTCTTAACCAATCACCTGTGGGATTTTCTAACCTACTCTACATATATCTCTGACTTCAGTTTCACTTGGATGACCCATGTGATACTGTGGCAATTCAGATCTTTCCCCTCTTTTTTTTTTCCCCCTCTTTTTTCTAATGAGCTTTTTGATACTAATTCAGCCATTTATTCCACAGTCCCACTGTGAATTGTCATCACTCTTAACTATTTCAGCGCCCAATATAAATTTAGACACTTTATTGTTAGACCACATCTTCTTTTCCAGGCTTGCCTCTTGTCCTTCCTTTAGAACCATGCTTTGACCTCATTAGATATTCTAGTCCATTGTCTCATTTACTTTCTTTTGATCTATTAGCCTCTGTTCTTTACTTTCCTTTTTTTTCCAGTTTGGGACTGTCATCCATTATTTCAGTTATACTTTGGCTGATACCATATATTTCCTTGCCCCTGGATCTTTTCATTTTGCTTACCTGGTAAAGCTCCAGCCTTGGAGGGGTTTTTCTTCTTGTTTTCTTCTTCCTTGCACCAGATTAGTTCCTTCCTAATTTCATGATTTCCTGACCTGAACAAACTTTGAACACCACTCAGCAATCGTATTATGCTAAAGTATGGTTGGTATACTTTCCACTCCCCATAAAGACAATTTAAACCTTCACTTTTTTAAACTCCTGAGTCTTCTATCTTTCTATCAAAGGAGACAACTTTTTCTCCTCTTTAGAGATACAAAACCATCCAAAGAGAACTCTCTTGTGCTCCTACTTTCAAACATGCATTCTCTTTTCTTCTTGTTACACTAATTATAAAACACTTTGTGCTGGTACTTAGTGCTTTACATTGATTATCTTACTGAAGTTCCACAAAAATCCTTTCAGGTATATCCATTTTATAGATGATAAAACTGAGAAACAGGTTATATAATTTATTCTTGGGCTCACTACTGGCTAGTGGCCGACCCAGGATTTACACAGTCTGATTTCTGAGTCTGTGTTTTTAATGAAAATAACAACAACACAACAACAACAATAATAATAAATCACATGTAATGTTTACTATGGCCAACACACTTTAATATATTTATAATATCTATATATACAGCCATAGTCCTCATGGATATGATATATATTTAATCTTGATAATGGTAGGTACTATTACTATTTCTATTTTATGGATGAGGGAAACTGAAGTACAGAGAAGTTAAGTTCTTTTACTGTAGGACCAAGGTCACAACAGCTAACAGGTGGAGGAGCTGGGGTGTGAATCTCAGAATCTTGTGCTCTGAGCTCACTAGGTGCTATCATGTTGGTTTTATTACACTATCTTGCTGCCTTTTGGAGGTTAAAGTCTCAATGCATCTTTGGTCTCAGGAACCTTAGGCTATAATTTCTTCTTTCTGTAGTGACTTCTCTCAACTGGATCTTTCCTATTTTCTCTGAAAAAAATTTAAAAGTCACTCATTTAAAAAGACCAGACTACTCAGTCTTCTTTCAGGTCCCTCCCCCTTCAGCAAGTTTTCTGTATTTACAGTCTCTATTTCCACATCTCCTGTCCACCCGAGTCTGTCAGCCACTTCACTAATGAGCATCATGTCCTAGTTCAATGAGCTTGACTCCTCAGCTGTATTTGTCACTGGTGATCTCTCCCTCCTCCTTAAATGTGGCTTCTCTCATTTCCCCTCCTATTTTTTGATTGCTTTTTCTCTAACTCATTAATGGGCTCATGCCTGGCCATTTATTATTGGGGTTAATGGAGCTTTGGTCCTTGGCCTTTCCCAGGTGATCTCATCTCTAACCTGCAGCTACAGTTACCAGACACCCCAATTAATGTCTCTGGCTCAGGTCTGTTCTCTGATCCCCAGATCTGGATTGTCCCAACTTCCACATGATTCTGAATTGTCTAAGGCACCTGTTAGTCAACATTTCTGAAGTCTAACCCTTGTTTTTTTTTTCCCTAATCCTGGTTGCCCTGTTTTCTCTTTTTACCACTTTTCTGTTTTGTAGAAGCCTAGGATTCATTCTTGATACTTTGCTCTGTCTCTTAATCCATTGCCATCTGCAGATTCTCTCTCCAAAATAATTCAGTATCCATCTGCTTCTGCCCCATCATTACCACGTGGCAAGTTTTCATTATCAGATTGCTGCAAGAGGCTCTAACTGGTCCTCTGACATTCCTTTTGCTCCTGTTCCTCTTTCCTCCATATGGCAGCCAGAGGGATTTTTCTTTTAAATATGCATATGTCAGTGTGTCTCTCCCATGCAGTTTAAAATCTTCTATGGCTTTCCATTGCTTGTAAGGAAAATACTTCTTGAATATGGCTTATGAGACTCTGCGTGATCTAGGCCCTGCAGACTCAGCTCTTATCTCATCCTCCATCCACCCCACCCCCCCATGCAGATCTTTACGCATGCGACCGCTGCTCATCAGCTCAGGTGGCCTTCCTCTCTTTGGTCTCCTTTTTATCAGTTCTCTTATCACAGAGTTGCTTTCCTTCCCATAATACTTGTCACATTTGCAATTTTACATTTGTTGATATGATTATTAGATTAAGTTGTGTCTTTTTCAATAGACTAAGTTACATGAGTCAAGGATGGTATTTTTGTTCACAATTATACCCTTTATATTATTCTTTAATAATAATCAAAAACTGCAAGGTAAAGCATTTACCACCCAACCAGATTAACAAAAAATTAAAAATTAAATTATTCAGTATTGATGAGATAGTAGTAAACTGGTAACTAAATTTCTGATGTCTTTACATAGTAAGTACAATAGGAAAGAAAGGTCATTACCTTTGGTGACTTCTATAAATTGATCTTTAACCAAGGGGGGAATATCTATATTCTCAGAGATACTCATTGCATAATTATACCTAATTAGTAAAGAATTGACATATCACCCATATGTCCAGTAATAAAAGAATAACTATTAAAATTATGATGTCTGGGGCACCTGTATGGCTCAGTCGGTTGGGCATCTGCCTTCGGCTCAGGTCATGGTCCCAGGGTCCTGGAATCAACCCCTGTGTCAGAGAGCCTGCTTTCCCTCTCCCACTCATCCTGCTTGTGTTCACTCTCTCTCTCTGTCAAATAAGTAAATCTTTAAAAAAAGAATTATGAGGTTGGTGTAAAGGATAGAAAATATTTTCAGTATAAACTGAAAAAAGAATAAAAAATTTATATTTCATTTGCAACTGGATGAAAATAATTATGAATTTGGACAAAGACTAGGTGAATAATTGCATTAGGTTTATGCATGTTTTAATTTTCAGAAATTTTTTGTGAATTAAGAAATTAGTGTTTCTTTTAGTGGTACATATTTTTCAGTATCATCACTATGGCTACTTTTCTTTCTTTAGTATGGACCTGTATTTAGTTTTACCATGGTGGGCAAGACATTTACTTACCTTCTGGGGAGTGATGCTGCTGCACTGCTTTTTAATAGTAAAAATGAAGACCTGAATGCAGAAGATGTCTACAGTCGTCTGACAACACCTGTGTTTGGGAAGGGAGTTGCATATGATGTGCCTAATCCAGTAGGTGACACTGTTAATGTTCAAGAAAGACAAACCTATAACATAATAGTTAAAGCTAGTAGTATAATATTGTACATTTAGAATGTAGAAACAATTGATTCTTTGATTCTAAAATCTGAAGAATGAGACATTTAGAAGAAGAAAAGCTCTGGGGAACTGACAAAGAATGAGTATTCTATTTTATAGCTGCAGGCATGGGCTAAGCAATTTTAAAGATTTCCTGTACAAAGAAATAGAATCAATGATAACTTAGCGTTTGGAATTTGAGTCGAGTGGGTAACAAGAAAATCCCCTTATATTTTGGAAGGGCCTCCTACGGCTACAGTCCTGCCTGAAATTCTAGCATAAGAGCTCTTTTGAGCTAGAGTTTATTGGCTTTAGAAGTTTGTGTGATTTCTTTTCCCCTCCTAAAGTCAGATATTAAAGTGCTGCAAATTGATGTAAAACAAATGAAATCTTTGGTTCAATTGCTTGGTGTGGGCTCTGGCTGAGATCATACCACACATTACCTGGTATCCTACTGTAGCAGTTAAGGGTTGACATCATGTGTTATTTCTGGAGATGAGGGAGGTGTAGGGGAATGAATGGCTCCTCAAGGCTAAAAGCAAGAGCCCTGAAAAATCCCTATGGTCAGATGTATCTGTTCATTTTCTCACACTGCTGATCAGATTCTTAAAATAGAAATGTCCCAAGGGGTTAAGACCATTAGTTGTCTTAGTGTGAATTTATTTCAGTCAAACTATATTGAATTCTCATTAAACTTCAGGAAGATAGGGAGAGGAATGATACTTGCTTGGTAATGGAATAGGAGAATATGTGAAATAGGATAAAAATAATATGGAAGCATAATGAACCTTTGAGGGATTGTGTTGGTATCTGGGTTGGGTTGAGATGCCAGAAGATAACAGGATAGGAAAGGGAAGCCCTGGGGTCAGGAGTGGGAAAAAGCATGTGTAGGAAGGAAAGGCAGTGGAATTCCTAATTATCATTAGTTAAGGTCCTGAATACCAGGTATCTCTCTACATGTTACTTCACATCCATGTAAATGCTCTGTTTCCCATGTGTGGTATAGTTTTAAAAAATCCTTCTACTATTTTTATTTTCAATATCTTTTTTCAGAATATTGTTTTCTTTGAGTGTTACAGAGTTCTAATAACCCATGTGAATCTTGTGATAAAACAAAATTGTGTCTTAATGGTTGGTATTATACTGTTAATATTTTCAAGGTTTTTTTGGAGCAGAAGAAAATGCTAAAAAGTGGCCTTAATATAGCCCACTTTAGACAGCACGTTTCTATAATCGAGAAAGAAACAAAGGAATACTTTCAAAGTTGGGGAGAAAGTGGAGAAAAAAGTAAGCAAACTGTTTTGTTTTTGCATTTGTTCTAATATTTCTGGGTTTTTTTTTTATGACTACAAATATAAGAATACATGTATATGTGTAATGAAAAACATGCAGCGTATGTAAAACCACCATAGCCTTAATGGAAAGAATGTTTTGATAACCACACAGTTTAAAAGACCTCTAAGAGGGGACCCCTGGATGGTTCAGCGGTTTAGCACCTGCCCTTGGCCCAGGGTGTGATCCTGGAGTCCCAGGATTGAGTCCCTCGTCGGGCTCCCTGTGTGGAGCCTGCTTCTCCCTCTGCCTGTGTCTCTGCCTCTCTTTCTGTGTCTCTCATGAATAAATAAATCTTAAAAAAAAAAAACCTCTAAGAGGAAGTGATTATTGCTGTTCACTTAGGACAACTTTAAAATGGGCTAATTAACGTGCATGTTATTCAGCTCATTTGTACAAATAATATAAAAATGATTCATAATTAAATTTTGAAATAAACTGAATGTTAAGACTTTTTGCATGGTCATTTTAAGACAGTAAATAACTTTTTTAACCTCCGTGGGCAAGTAAAAGTCTAAATGATTTAATTTTGTATGTAATACCCTATTTATTTGATACTTATTTCATGAAAAAGGTAAATTTAAATACATAGGTTTTACTCTGTCACCAAATATATGCTTTCTTGCATTATGTAGAGAGTATAATGAGTATAACTTGATTGTCCTTGGATATTTATGTGAATCCATCTTTTATATTGGACAATAAGTGTTCCTTTCAGGGAAAATTGCCAGCTCAAAGCAGAAAGCAACATTTGCCTACAGGGCATCAAGACCTCTGTATAGGTCCCCATGTTATGGGTGTGGTCTTCAGTTTCTATAAAAGATCCAGAAACTTGATTTTATTTTTTATTTACTGAAGCTGATGTGACATATTTCTAGCTATATAAGAACCTGATGTAAAACTAAAATGCCTCTAAATAAGTGCAAATGAGACAAAGTTACAGCACTGAGATCACCAGAATTTGCTAAACTTCATTGGTAAATCTAATTAGAAAGCCAGGTGATAATTGGAAGTTCATTTGGCAAACACAGAATTAAATAATAAGATATTAACAGGGTAATTTTTATGACTTTTAAATGTCATCCAAATGTGCTTCCCTGATGCATTTGTCTCCTGTTTGGGATATACCAGTTGGTAATTAGCTACAGTTTTCTTTTATATATAGTCAAGCAAGACTTCAAATTTTATTCCTGGTCTTCCTGCTTTTGACCTGGGAAATAATCCGTTCTCCAGTTTTTAGACTGCTATACCTTGGGAAGCACCTTGTATACATTAAATAACCAATTTACTGCTTTTGTTACACTGTGAGTTGGGACTCCTGTATCTTCATTTTTTACAAATATTAAGTAATTTCTCTACCCAATACAGGGCTCGAACTCATGACCCCGAGATCAAGAGTCATGTGCTCTATTGAGCCAGCCAGGCGCCCCTCACTATATTCATTTTTATTTCCAATTTATCTTTTCAAGTTGAAGAGTCATGAGTGAGGTTTAGAGATGCCTTTGTGGCCTCTATTTTGGCTCTCCAGGGATGCTTTCCATTAGGAGTTTTTTGTTCCTCTTTGTTGTGTCCATATCTGTCTGTCTAGGCTTTTTTTTGAGGATACAAACAGGATCTTGTTGATTCTTGAGTTTTTATTGTTTTCCTTTGTAATACTTCTATGTCTGAGAAAGCAGAAAATTTCCAGAGAATATTTGGCAATAGTAATGGGAATGATCTTTTTTCTTCTAGATTTGTTTGAAGCTCTTTCGGAGCTCATAATTTTAACAGCTAGCCATTGTTTACATGGCAAGGAAATCAGAAGTCAACTCAATGAGAAAGTGGCACAACTGTATGCAGATTTGGATGGAGGGTTTAGCCATGCAGCCTGGCTGCTGCCAGGCTGGCTTCCCTTGCCTAGTTTCAGGTATGGATAAAGAAACTATACTTGCTTATTTAACTGTAGAATTGCTGTAGTGTTGGTATGCTTTGCGTGAACAGAGATAAAAGATAAACATAAAAGAGACAAATTAGGGGAGATTATGACCCCCCATGCTTCTATAAGAATTCAAGACGGGTGTTCTTTATATAGTGAGTTCACTTAAGCTAAATTTCAGTTTATTAAAGAGGTAATTTGTTGTCTAGCTGTTCTAATTTAAAACCTACTAATCTCACATATTCCTTCTACTCAGGAAAGTCTCTGGACTCTACCTAGAAGTGATACCCCTCTATGTACTTATTTGAAAATATTTTACTGTTTTATAGTATACTGTGAATTTGTTTTGAAGTATTAGTGCCTTTAATTTTCTCTTTGTTTTCTTACAACTATACTGTGATTTCTGTAAGGGCAGGGACCATCTGATACAAAGAAATATTGCTTACAAGACTCAACATATAATTTAGTATTTTGCATAGTTAGTGGGCTTTCTGTATCTTTTGATTCATTTATGTTCAGGTGAGAGATGGGGAAGAATTAAATTGGTACTCCCTTTTCTTTCTATTTCTGCTATTTCTATATAGTTACAGGATAAAGAAGGGGAGAAAAAGGGAAAGCCAGGAGAGATTCTCTGGAATTCTTTGGATTCATAATTCTTTGTAAGGAGCTTTCCAGTTTTCAAAATGCTTTCATCCATAGCCTGTAGTAGGTTCTCCAGAAATGTGCAACAAGCCTGTTTTTACCTTGTCTATCTCCTGGATGAAGTCAGAAATTCCTGAGCTTGATATGATAGACCTTTCCCAGTTATTCAATTCCCTTTCTTAAACAGGCCTTATGTTTTCCTGGCACTGCTGTGTTCTTATTGATAAACCTCTTCTGCCCACATTATCTCAGTTGATCCTCAGTAACAGTCTTACAAACACAGCAGGGCAGCAATTTGTATTGGAAGGCTTAGTTAGGAAGTTAGTTAGTTAGGAAGGGGCTAGGTAGTCAGATTGCCTGGTTTTAAATGTTAGCTCCACTGCTTTCTGGCTGTGTGATACTATGCAGCTGCCTGTGGATTGAGCATAAGAGCATCGACCTTGCAGGAGGTCAAAGTGGGTAATTCATTTTGTAAAACACTTATAGTACTGTTAGTATAGTTTGTTACCTAGTGAGCATCGTACTCTAAAGGTAAGGTTTGGGCACCTAAAGTTTGTTTTCTGACTCTACTAGTATTTTTGCCCCCAACAAAACCATGGTGTCTCAGAAAATGAAAAGTAGAATCAAATCCTGTATACTGTAGTCATGTTCTAAATCCTAGATGTTTATCATCCTAAATAAATCCTAGGTTTATTCAAATCCTGAATCTTCTTCTTCTTTTTTTTTAAAAAAATCCTGAGTCTTCTAAGAAAACCAGAATGACTCTCCATCTTCTACAAGAATTAATTTGGTTAAAATGGGAATTTCATTAATTTAAAGGAGTATTTTGCTTTCTGTTAAATGGAAAGTGATTCTAAAGGAATAATCACAAGTCTTGTTCTAGACCTTTCGTTAGAAAAAAGAGAGTAGGGGGATCCCTGGGTGGCTCAGCAGTTTGGCACCTGCCTTTGGCCCAGGGCGCTATCCTGGAGTTCCGGGATCGATTCCCGTGTCGGGCTCCCAGCATGGAGCCTGCTTCTCCCTCTGCCTGTGTCTCTGCCTCTCTCTCTCTGTGTGTGTCTATCATAAATAAATAAATAAATAAATCTTAAAAAAAAAAAAAAGAACAAAGAGAGTATGTTAAGAATACATCTATTAGGACAAATTTCTTGCTTTTTTTTAATAAATTAATTTTTTTATTGGTGTTCAATTTACCAACATACAGAATAACATCCAGTGCTCATCCCGTCAAGTGTTCCCCTCGGTGCCTGTCACCCACTCACCCCCACCCCCCGCCCTCCTCCCCTTCCATCACCCCTAGTTCGTTTCTCAGAGTTAGGAGTCTTTATGTTCTGTCTCCCTTTCTGATATTTCCCACACATTTCTCCTCCCTTCCCTTATATTCCCTTTCACTATTATTTATATTCCCCAAATGAATGAGAACATACACTGTTTGTCCTTCTCCGATTGACTTACTTCACTCAGCATAATACCCTCCAGTTCCATCCACGTTGAAGCAAATGGTGGGTATTTGTCGTTTCTAATGGCTAATATTCCATTGTATACATAAACCACATCTTCTTTATCCATTCATCTTTTGATGGACACTGAGGCTCCTTCCACAGTTTGGCTATTGTGGACATTGCTGCTAGAAACATCGGGGTGCAGGTGTCCCGGCGTTTCATTGCATCTGAATCTTTGGGGTAAATCCCTAACAGTGCAATTGCTGGGTCGTAGGGCAGGTCTATTTTTAACTCTTTGAGGAACCTCCACACAGTTTTCCAGAGTGGCTGCACCAGTTCACATTCCAACCAACAGTGTAAGAGGGTTCCCTTTTCTCCGCATCCTCTCCAACATTTGTTGTTTCCTGCCTTGTTAATTTTCCCCATCCTCCTCTGCCTGTGTCTCTGCCTCTCTCTCTCTCTGTGTGACTATCGTAAATAAAAAAAATTAAAAAAAAAAAAAAAAAAAAAAAATTTTCCCCATCCTCACTGGTGTGAGGTGGTATCTCTTTTTTTTTTTTTTTTTTTTTTTTTTTTGTGAGGTGGTATCTCATTGTGGTTCTGATTTGTATTTCCCTGATGGCAAGTGATGCAGAGCATTTTCTCATGTGCATGTTGGCCATGTCTATGTCTTCCTCTGTGAGATTTCTCTTCAAGTCTTTTGCCCATTTCATGATTGGATTGTTTGTTTCTTGGGTGTTGAGTTTAATAAGTTCTTTATAGATTTTTAAACTAGTCCTTTATCTGATATGTCATTTGCAAATATCTTCTCCCATTCTGTAGGTTGTCTTTTAGTTTTGTGGACTGTATCCTTTGCTGTGCAAAAGCTTCTTATCTTGATGAAGTCCCAAAAGTTCATTTTTGCTTTTGTTTCTTTTGCCTTCGTGGATGTATCTTGCAAGAAGTTACTGTGGCCGAGTTCAAAAAGGGTGTTGCCTGTGTTCTCCTCTAGGATTTTGATGGAATCTTGTCTCACATTTAGATCTTTCATCCATTTTGAGTTTATCTTTGTGTATGGTGTAAGAGAGTGGTCTAGTTTCATTCTTCTGCATGTGGATGTCCAATTTTCCCAGCACCATTTATTGAAGAGACTGTCTTTCTTCCAGTGGATCGTCTTTCCTCCTTTATCGAATATTAGTTGACCATAAAGTTCAGGGTCCACTTCTGGGTTCTCTATTCTGTTCCATTGATCTATGTGTCTGTTTTGTGCCAGTACCACACTGTCTTGATGACCACAGCTTTGTAATACAACCTGAAATCTGGCATTGTGATGCCCCCAGATATGGTTTTCTTTTTTAAAATTCCCCTGGCTATTCGGGGTCTTTTCTGATTCCACACAAATCTTAAAATAATTTGTTCTAAGTCTCTGAAGAAAGTCCATGGTATTTTGATAGGGATTGCATTAAACGTGTAAATTGCCCTGGGTAACATTGACATTTTCACAATATTAATTCTGCCAATCCATGAGCATGGAATATTTTTCCATCTCTTTGTGTCTTCCTCAATTTCTTTCAGAAGTGTTCTATAGTTTTTAGGGTATAGATCCTTTACCTCTTTGGTTAGGTTTATTCCTAGGTATCTTATGCTTTTGGGTGCAATTGTAAATGGGATTGACTCCTTAATTTCTCTTTCTTCAGTCTCAGTGTATAGAAATGCCATTGATTTCTGGGCATTGATTTTGTATCCTGCCATGCTACCAAATTGCTGTATGAGTTCTAGCAATCTTGGGGTGGAGGCTTTTGGGTTTTCTATGTAGAGTATCATGTCATCGGCGAAGAGGGAGAGTTTGACTTCTTCTTTGCCAATTTGAATGCCTTTAATGTCTTTTTGTTGTCTGATTGCTGAGGCTAGGACTTCCAATACTATGTTGAATAGCAGTGGTGAGAGTGGACATCCTGTCTTGTTCCTGATCTTAGGGGAAAGGCTCCCAGTGCTTCCCCATTGAGAATGATATTTGCTGTGGGCTTTTCATAGATGACTTTTAAGATGTCGAGGAAAGTTCCCTCTATCCCTACACTCTGAAGAGTTTTGATCAGGAATGGATGCTGTATTTTGTCAAATGCTTTCTCTGCATCTAATGAGAGGATCATATGGTTCTTGGCTTTTCTCTTGCTGATATGATGAATCACATAGATTGTTTTACGAGTGTTGAATCAGCCTTGTGTCCCGGGGATAAATCCTACTTGGTCGTGGTGAATAATTTTCTTAATGTGTTGTTGGATCCTATTGGCTAGTATCTTGTTGAGAATTTTTGCATCCATGTTCATCAGGGATATTGGTCTGTAAGTCTCCTTTTTGGTGGGGTCTTTGTTGGTTTTGGAATTAAGGTGATGCTGGCCTCATAGAATGAATTTGGAAGTACTCCATCTCTTTCTATCTTTCCAAACAGCTTTAGTAGAATAGGTATGATTTCTTCTTTAAACGTTTGATAGAATTCCCCTGGGAAGCCATCTGGCCCTGGACTCTTGTGTCTTGGGAGGTTTTTGATGACTGCTTCAATTTCCTCCCTGGTTATTGGCCTGTTCAGGTTTTCTATTTCTTCCTGCTCCAGTTTTGGTAGTTTGTGGCTTTCCAGGAATGCGTCCATTTCTTCTAGATTGCCTAATTTATTGGCTTAGAGCTGTTCATAATATGTTTTTAAAATCGTTTGTATTTCCTTGGTGTTGGTAGTGATCTCTCCTTTCTCATTCATGATTTTATTAATTTGAGTCTTCTTCTCTTCTTTTGAATAAGGTTGGCTAATGGTTTATCTATCTTATTAATTCTTTCAAAGAACCAACTCCTGGTTCTGTTGATCTGTTCCACAGTTCTTCTGGTCTCAATTTCGTTGAGTTCTGCTCGAATTTTAATTAACTCTCTTCTTCTGCTGGGCGGAGGGTCCATCTGCTGTTTTTTCTCTAGCTTCTTTATGTGTAAGGTTAGCTTTTGTATTTTAGTTCTTTCCAGTTTTTGAATGGAGGCTTGTATTGCGATGTATTTCCCCCTCAGGACTGCTTTTGCTGCATCCCAAAGATTTTGAACAGTTGTATCTTCATTCTCATTAGTTTCCATGAATCTTTTTAATTCTTCCTTAATTTCCTGGTTGACCCTTTCATCTTTTAGCAGGATGGTCCTTAACCTCCACGTGTTTGAGGTCCTTCCAAACTTCTTGTTGTGATTTAGTTCTAATTTCAAGGCGTTATGGTCTGAGAATATGCAGGGGATGATCCCAATCTTTTGGTATCGGTTCAGACCCGATTTGTGACCCAGTATGTGGTCTATTCTGGAGAAAGTTCCATGTGCACTTGAGAAGAATGTGTATTCAGTTGAGTTTGGATGTAAAGTTCTGTAGATATCTGTGAAATCTATCTGGTCCAGTGTATCATTTAAAGCTCTCGTTTCTTTGGAGATGTCGTGCTTAGAAGACCTATCGAGGGTAGAAAGAGCTAGATTGAAGTCACCAAGTATAAGTGTATTATTATCTAAGTATTTCTTCACTTTGGTTAATAATTGGTTTAAGTATTTGGCAGCTCCCACATTCGGGGCATATATATTGAGGATTGTTAAGTCCTCTTGCTGGATAGATCCTTTAAGTATGATATAGTGTCCCTCTTCGTCTCTCACTACTGTCTTCGGGGTAAATTTTAGTTTATCTGATATAAGGATGGCTACCCCTGCTTTCTTTTGAGAACCATTTGAATGGTAAATGGTTCTCCAACCTTTTATTTTCAGGTTGTAGGTGTCCTTCTGTCTAAAATGAGTCTCTTGTAGACAGCAAATAGATGGGTCCTGCTTTTTTATCCAGTCTGAAACCGTGCGCCTTTTGATGGGGTCATTAAGCCCGTTCACGTTCAGAGTTACTATTGACAGATATGAGTTTAGTGTCATCATGATATCTATTTAGTCCTTGTTTTTGTGGATTGTTCCACTGAACTTCTTCTTAAAGGGGAATTTTAAGAGTCCCCCTTAAAATTTCTTGCAGAGCTGGTTTGGAGGTCACATATTCTTTCAGTTCCTGCCTGTCTTGGAAGCTCTTTATCTCTCCTTCCATTTTGAATGAGAGCCTTGCTGGATAAAGTATTCTTGGTTGCATGTTCTTCTCATTTAGGACCCTGAATATATCCTGCCAGCCCTTTCTGGCCTGCCACGTCTCTGTGGAGAGGTCTGCTCTTACCCTAATATTCCTCCCCATGAAAGTCAGGGACTTCTTGTCTCTTGCTGCTTTAAGGATCTTCTCTTTATCTTTGGAATTTACAAGCTTCACTATTAAATGTCGAGGTGTTGAACGGTTTTTATTGATTTTTTGGGGGGATCTCTCTATTTCCTGGATCTGAATGCCTGTTTCCCTTCCCAGATTGGGAAAGTTTTCAGCTAGGATTTGTTCAAATACATATTCTGGCCCTCTGTCCCTTTCGGCGCCCTTGGGAACCCCAATTAAACGTAGGTTTTTCTTCCTTAGGCTGTCATTTATTTCCCTTAATCTGTCTTCATGGTCCTTTAATTGTCTATCTCTTTTTTCCTCAGTTTCCCTCTTTGCCATTAACTTGTCTTCTATGTCACTCACTCGTTCTTCCATCTCGTTAACCCTCGTCGTTAGGACTTCTAGTTTGGATTGCATCTCATTCAATTGATTTTTAATTTCTGCCTGATTGAATCTAAATTCTGCAGTCATGAAGTCTCGTGAGTCCTTAATGCTTTTTTCTAGAGCCACCAGTAGCTGTATAATAGTGCTTCTGAATTGGCTTTCTGACATTGAATTGTAATCCAGATTTTGTAACTCTGTGGGAGAGAGGGCTGTTTCTGATTCTTTCTTTTGAGGTGAGGTTTTCCTTCTAGTCATTTTGCTCAGTGGAGAGTGGCCAAAAACAAGTTGTATTTGGAAAAGGAAAAAAAAAGAGAGAGAGAAGGAAAGAAAAGAGAAAAAGAAAAAGAAGAAAAAAAAAGGAAAAAAGAGAAGAAAAAGAGAAAGAAAAAGAAAGAAAGGTGAAAAAAAGGGGGTGGGGGAAGCAATCAGAAATCAAAAAGAAAAAAAAAAAAAAAAACACGGGGGAGTATCTTCTGATTCTGTAGACTTTAAGTCCCTTGACTTCCCCTGGAACTGGTCCGTCCAGCTGGTCTTCTGGGGGAGGGGCCTGCTGTGCTGATTTTCTGGTGTTAGCACTTGGGGGAGCTGCTCTGCCCCTGCCTGCTGCCGGGCTCAGCGGGGGTTGTTTACCCCGTGAGGCCCCAGGAGGAACAGCCCCAGTGGCTATGGCAGCTCTGGAAGCCTGGATTCAGCCTCCATAGGAACTACGGGGCTCTCCGTCCGCAGGGCCTGGAGGCTCCGGGGCGGGGCCGCTGATCTGCTCAGCTCGGGGCAGGAGCGTCCTTGCTGTCCTGGGCCCTCCCGGCCTCTGCCTGTCCCGGGGGAGGCCGGATCCTGGGCTGTGTCCCGGCGCCCTGTGCTCCGGGGCCTGGGCTGTGGGATTCGCGCTCCCGCCCCGCAGCCCCCTCCGCGGAGCCGCCGCCCGAGCCCCTCCGAGCTGCTCCGGCCCCGCGGTGCCCGCTGCAGCCCTTAGGGAGCTCGGCGCACTCTCCCGGGGCGCAGGTGTCTGTTAGTGTCCCCGGGGAGCCCGAGGGCATCCCCGCTCTCCTGGGTCCTGCTCTAATTCCCTGCGAGCCCCTTTCCGCCCGGGAAGGTTGGTGCAGCTCCTGCTCCTCCGGGACGGGGCTCTCCTGTCCTGGGGACACTCGCCCCGGCCTCAGCCCGGCTCCTCGCGGGCCCCTCCCCCTCGGAGGCCTTTTGTGTCTTTATTTCTTTTTCCCCCGTCTTCCTACCTGATAGAAGCGCGAACTCTTCTCCCTGTAGCGTTCCAGCTGGTCTCTCTTTAAATCTCAGGCCGAATTCTTAGATTTTCAGGATGATTTGAAGGTTATGTAGGTAACTTGGTGGGGACAGGTGATTTGGGGACCCTGCTCTTCCGCCGTCTTGCCCCTCCTCCCCACATTTCTTGCCTTTAAGGACCCTAGAAATTTCTAACTAAGATTTTTTTGGATTTTTTTTTCCTTTTGGTTCTGAGGTTTCTGTCCATTGTTTCAGAGTCATTGAAGTTGTTAAATAAGGTTGCGTTAAGCTAGGTCCTGGTTATTTTCAAAATGAGTCTAATGCCAGAAAGTATGACATTGTTTTTTAATCATTTTCATCTTTGAATGACAGACGCAGGGACAGAGCTCACCGAGAGATCAAGAATATTTTCTACAAAGCAATCCAGAAGCGCAGACAGTCAGAAGAAAAAATAGATGATATTCTCCAAACTTTACTAGATTCTACTTACAAGTAAGAGCTGCTCAGATCATATGTTAAGCTGAAACAGGAAATTACACATTAAAATGTGCTTAAATAATATATTCAGTCAAAAAATAGTGATACTGACAAAATTAGTAGCTATGAGCTGTGGGCTTATTAAATGGATGAGACTCGAATTACTGGGGTCCCGTGCCTGCCTGGAGCCCCAAGACCGTGCATGGGGAAAGCTCTGCTGACAAACTGGAACAGTGTCCTTTGTAATGAAAATCCTACTTTTCTTTGGTCCACCTCTGTTCCCTAAGGGAAAAAAATTCTCACTTGTGATGGGCAAATGCAAGAGACTGTTAAACTTGAAAAATTTATTCACTTAGACCCTTTATTTAAATGTGAAGGCATGAAATGGGTCTGCCAAAATGTTAAATTTGTGTGTGATTCATTCCATAGGGATGGGCGTCCTTTGACAGATGACGAAGTGGCAGGCATGCTTATTGGACTGCTCTTGGCAGGGCAGCATACATCCTCAACTACTAGTGCCTGGATGGGCTTCTTCTTGGCCAGAGACAAAACACTTCAAGACAAATGTTATTTAGAACAGAAAACAGTCTGTGGAGAACATCTGCCTCCTTTAACTTATGACCAGGTTTGTTGCATTTTTATTTTCATTGCTGCTTTATGACTTTGAGTATTTAATGAGTGGCTAGTTTTTAAAGGGGATAACTTGAGATACTCTGTTTACTATCGATTAAATTGCTTAGCTTCTTTATTTCTAGAAAATTGCCCATAGCCCTCCCTGAAATGTCTTAATGTTGGATTCAGTTTGCTAGGATTTTTGCATCCATGTTGATAAGGGATATTGATGTGTAGTTTAATCATGAGGTCTTTGACAGGTTTTGGTACACAGTAATGCTGGTCTCATAGAATGAGTGTACAAGTGTTCCCTCCTCTTTATTTTTTTGGAAGAGTTTGTGAAGGGTTGATATTGTTTCTTATATGTCTGGTTAGAGATCACCAGTGAAACTATATGAGTCTGTGCTTTTCTTTGTGGGAAGTTGATACTTGTTATACATCTTTTCATATGTTCTGTTTCTTCTGGAGTCTTTAGTTTGTATCCTTTAGAAATTTGTCCATTTTCATCTAGGTTACCTAACTCATTGGCTTATAATTGTTATCGTATTCTCTTATAATCCTTACTGTTTCTGTAAGGTCAGCAGTGATGTCTCTTTCATTTCTGATTTTATAACTTTTAAAATAATAGCTTAATTGATACATAATTTACATACTATAGAACAGTCCATTTAGAGTGTATAATTTACTCTTTTTTGATATATTCAGAATTGTGAGAACCATCACAATTTTAGAACATTTAAATCACTTCCAAAAGAAAGCTGGTACCCCATATCAGTCACACTCCATTTCCCCTGTCCCCGGCAATCACTGATCTACCTTTTGTCTGCATGGATTTGCCTTATTCTGGACATTTCATATAAACGGGATCATAACAATATGTGGTCTTTTATGACCGGCTTCTTTTGCTTACCATGTTTTCATATTTATCCATGTAGTAGCATAATCTTTGCTAACGTTTTTCCTTTTTTAGACAAATGAATCTTTGCAGGCCCTTATTACTATGCTATAGTGAGGGTGATTATCTCTCTTACTTGCCCTCTTTCCCCTGTTGACCATGTAGTAATAGAACAAGATAATCTCAGATGCCAAACCAGTGACCTCTGCACTCCTACCAGAATATAATCTATTTTATAACCCAGAAGTTTAAGTAATATTGCATATTGTTTAAGTAAGTTAAATATTTGTAAAACTCAGGAAATATTTTCCCTTTTTAGCTGAAGGATTTAAATTTACTAGATCGCTGTATAAAAGAAACATTAAGACTTCGGCCTCCTATAATGACCATGATGAGAATGGCCAAAACTCCTCAGGTGAGTCTCTTGGTTAGAGCTCCCCTTCCATGCCCTCAGTTTTTATTTATCAAGAAGAAGAAATATAACAGCAAGGAGGATTTTTAAAATTAAGCAAGTAGAATAATTGTTTCTACATAATTATAGTTTTATATATTCTAACTCTGATATATAATTACATATTCTATTTATATAACTATTTTTTATATAATTAGAGAGTATATGTGCTAATCTGTTCCCTGCATTTTTACTTAACAATTAGGGTTTTAAAAATGATAGTGTATTTTTTTCCTGGCTTAAAAAAAAAAAAGCATGTTTTGTTAAAAATTCTGATAGTATGGAACTACATAAATTAGATTGTGAAAGGCTCCTTGATATCCCTATGCTACCTCTGAGGCATTTATATCTTTTTAAAATTTCCAGCCCAATGTTGGGTCACTTGAAAATCATCTTGAGTTAAAATAATTTTTAGCTGGCCTATCATCTAGCTAATTTTTAAATATACATATATCACATGTGTGTCAATGCTTTATTACACAATGGTCTGGTTATTGGGTAGAATATTTTTGTATTACCTAATGAAATGTGTTGGGACTCCTGGGTGGCTCAATGGTTGAGCGTCTGCCTTTGGCTCGGGTCATGATCCTGGAATCCTGGAACCGAGTCCTGCATCAGGCTCCCCTTGGGAAGCCTGCTTCTCCCTCTGCCTATGTCTCTGCCTCTCTCTCTGGGTCTCTCATAAATAAATAAGTAAAATCTTTAAAAAAAAATGAAACGTGTTGCTTTGATTTCTAGACCGTTGCAGGGTATACCATTCCTCCAGGACATCAGGTGTGTGTTTCTCCCACTGTCAACCAAAGACTTAAAGACTCATGGGTAGAACGTCTGGACTTTAATCCTGATCGGTACTTGCAGGACAATCCAGCATCAGGAGAGAAGTTTGCTTACGTGCCATTTGGAGCTGGTAAGATACCATTTTACATTTGAAATGTTTGTTCTGATAATATATTTATGTCTGTCAAAATAATCTATATGAATTTTATTTATAAATATCTTTCCTTATAGGGACATTCCTGTAAACATTTGTAGGAGTATAAACTTTGCCAAGTTGGAAAAACTATTTGTACTAAAGGAAATAGTTTTGTGAATCCTTATATAATGCTCTATTACCTTCTTACCAATTTAGTTTTATCAGGGTTAATTTTTTATAGCCCACCCTATTTTCCCTTATAGTAGTATTTAAAGCTCTGTGAATTGTTTTAAAGAACCAGTGGAGTTAGCACACCATTTAGTCAATTATTTAAGGCTAAATAAGATAACAGATTATCAGTGTTTCAGAAAAGAGCAAAAGCAGTCTTGTTAAAATTGAAGCTTTTATGGATTGTTAGTCAACTTTTTGGTTCGCTGTATCCTTAAGATAAAATGGTCTTTAAATTTGGGCAGGTCTTGCATAGGTTTGCAAACTTCTGCATTTCAATTAAGATCCTTAAATTACACAGGGAGACCCTTGTTCCTGCAATAATTTCTCTGTTCATTGGTACTCTACAGATTAAACTATATTTTATGACTTTAGTCTTTCCAAAGAGATTTTAAGTGGCACAACTTTTTTGTTATTGATCACGCTTTTTCTACACGTAAAGGAAAGTATAAAATCCTTTAGGGACTTTAGATCGTAGTAACTTTGATAAATAAATTTAATAATATAGTATATAACATTACATTTAAAGGAGTTGTAGATTGTTCAAACAGTTGGAAGGGGCATTAGTTCTGTGGTCCAAAATCTGCCCCAAAGAAGAATCATTTCTAATCTGGTAATTACCTGGATTCCACTTGAACTTTTTTAGGTAATAGATTGCTCAGTTACCTTCTATGGCAGCTCCCATTTTAAAAAACTTACATTAAAGCCATCATCTGGGGGTGCCTGGCTGGCTCAGTCAGTACAGCACATGACTCTTGGTCTCAAGGTCATGAGTTCAAGCCCCATGTTGGGTGTGAAGTCTACTTAAAAAAACAAAAAGCTGTAATCTGTTTCCTTTTAACATCCCATTGTGTTTAACATCCCCTAATTACATTCTCTGAAGTTTATACTGTGTATCTCTGAGCTATCTGAATAGAAGATATAACATTCCCTCAAATCTGTCATCATTGTGCTAATTTCCTAGGGCTACTGTAACTCCCACAAACTAGATGACTTAAAACAAAAGACATTTATTCCCCTACATTTATGCCCGGAAGTCTGAAATCAAGGTGTTGGAAGGACCTTGTTCTCCCTCATGGCTCTAGGGGAGAGTCTTTCATTGCTTGTTCCTAGCTTTCAGTGGCTCTTGACAGCCTTTGGCATTCCTTGGCTTGTAGCTACATCACTCTGACCACTATCTTCACTGGCCGTCTGTCCTATGGGTGCCTGAGTCCTCGCATGTCTTTCTTTGAAGGGCACCAGCATTGGACTTAGGGCTTACCCTAACCTGGGTATGACTTCATCTTAACTAATTATATCTGCAAAGTCTGATTTTTGAGTGGACATGAATTTTGGGAGGGGGATACTCTTCTACCCCATTTGATCATCAGGTTCAGTGTGTCCAATTTCTTTAATCATTACTTTCTGTAGTTTTTTCTGTTTTCGTGCATATAGCATGTAGCTTACTCATTTTCATAATATTACCTTATATGAATCATCAGAATTTATCCATTTTCCTATTAATTTGTCCTTAGGATTCTTCTAATTTCCTGCTATTAACATAATTCTCTAACTAATCTCCCTGTAAGCCAAGCCTCTCCTTAGTTGTTATATTTGAACATGGAATGGCTTGTAAACACCCTTCTTAAATAGAGCTCCTAGAAGTAAGAGCATTTATAGGCCACACAAACACTGTGCTAATAATAAGCATTTTTTGGTTAATTTTTTCCCTATTAATCTTCACAACCACACTATCAGGAAGGGACTGTCTTATTCACTTTTCAGAAACGGAAACCAAGGCTTAGCAAGGCCTTTTTCAATTCCAATAATTTGGCTTGATCTTTTGGTATTCCCTGAAAAGCCATCCTTTGTTACTGAGCTTACTACCTTATGAGGTTTTAGTAGGCCAAAAAGATTGGAAGGTATTAGTTCTTTCTGGCTTAAACATTTCTGATACCATCTTTTATCAAATTTGTTTCTCTGGCTTTTATATATAATCTTTTATTAAAAATATATGAATTATATTTTATCTTATTAAAATTTCCCCATTTTAATAAAAAAACTTCAAAGTCAGAAGAATTTTATAGTGAACATTGATATACCTATTATCTAGATTCTGCCACTAACATTTTATCCTTGTTTTATCACATATCTATCCATCAATCCATTTACTTCAGGTGCATTTCATTTATTTTTTTATTTTTTAATAAATTAATTTTTTATTGGTGTTCAATTTACCAACATACAGAATAACACCCAGTGCTCATCCCGTCAAGTGCCCCCCCTCAGCGCCCATCACCCATTCACCCCCACCCCCGCCCTCCTCCCCTTCTACCACCCCTAGTTCGTTTCCCAGAGTTAGGAGTCTTTTTCTTCTCCCTTCTTCAGGTGCATTTCAAAGTAGACTGTCTACATCAGTGTATGTCTCCCTGAATTTTTTCCAAGTATATAATTAACTGCAGTTCAGTATTTTTGTTTTGGTGTAATGTTTTACAAATGAAATACTCAAATCTTAAGTCAATATTGTTTTGACAAATAACCTCATTCAAATCTAATTTATTGATTTTTTTAAACTGTTGTTGGTTCTTGGTCCTATCTAAATCCTTTGCCTGGCCCCAAGTTGTGAAGACATGGTTTTAACATTTATGTTTAGGTCTATGATCATCTGGAATTAGTGTTTGAGTTTGGTGTGAGACAGGAATTAAGGCTTTTTTTTGTTTTTAAAATTATTTTAATAGACTGTATTTACTAGAAAGAGAGATAGCAAGAGAAAGAGCACACAAGGTGAGGGAGGGGCAGAGGGAGAAGCAGGCTCCCCTCTGAGCAGAGCCTAATGCTGGGCTCCATTCCAGGACCTGGGGATCATGACCTGAGCAAAGGCAGATGCTTAACCGATGGAGCCACCCAGATACTCCCCACTCCCGCTTTTTTTTTTTTTTATGTTAGATAAATGGTTATTCCACACTATGTGTTGAAAAGATTTTTTTTTTCCATTGGTTTGCTTTATTTAGTGCCTTTGTTGATAATCAGATAACCATAAAAGTATGTCTTGGCTGTTTGCTGTAGTCTGTCGCTCTACTTTTTTTTTTTTTTGTCGCTCTATTTCTTGAGCCCTGTGCACGACTGCATTGTCTTGGTTGCTGTGAAAGAAAAAAACCCACTCTCACTTAGAACACTTGACAACATTTCTGATCACCAAATATTTGGGTGTTTTTCCTACACCAATTCTCTGTGGATACCCACAATTTCAACTTGGTTATGATACTACCCAACTGTGGTTAGCACAGACCCCATAGGTTAAGGCCTTAGTCCCACAGGATTCCCTCTTGCCCTCCCATGACTTGAGATACCAATTGCAAATCCAGATTGTCTCCTGTTTTTCTGACCAGTGAGCTATAAACCAGAGGTTTTCTTGATCTCCTTGGGGTTCCACAGTTTCTTAAAATGGCTCACAGAACTCAGAAAGCAGTTTATTTACTGGATTGATAGTTTATTACAAAGGAGGGGATACAATTCAGGAAGACCTGATTGGAGATGCATAGGGCAAGGTATGGGGGAAGGGGCACAGAGCTTCCATGTCCTTTGGGTATGCCCCACTCCCAGTACCTCCATATGTTCACCAAGCAGGAAAGGTCTCCGAATGCTACCTCTCAATCCTTCCATACTATAGGATTTTTAGTGGAGGCTTCATATTGTAGACACAATTGATTAAATCATTGATGATTAATTCAATCTCCAGCCCCTTCTCCTTCTTTCCAAGAAGGTCAGGGGCTGGGGCTAAAAGTTCTAACCCTTTAATCACATGGTTTGTTCCCCTGGCAGCCAGGCCCTACTTACTCTAAGGGGATTTCCAAAAGTCCCCTCATTAACAAACTCCAAGTGTGGTTGAAGGGGGCTTTTATGAATAACAAAAACTTCTTGCTTCTTTATTGCTCCTTTCATGTAAGAAATTCCAAGCTGTTTGAGGAGCTCTGTGCCAAGTATGGGAGAAAGAGCAAATATATATTTATTACAAACCACAGTATCGGAGTTGCTGTACCGTTAGTTAGCACTGAAGTCAGATTTGAAATCAATTTAAGTCTTCCAACTTTTTTTTTTTTTCCTAAGACTGCTCTGGATATCCTAGGTCCTCCTTTGCATTTTCATATGCATTTTATTTTTTTTTAATTTTTTTTATTTATTTATGATAGTCACAGAGAAAGAGAGAGAGAGGCAGAGACACAGGCAGAGGGAGAAGCAGGCTCCATGCACTGGGAGCCTGACGTGGGATTCGATCCCGGGTCTCCAGGATCGCGCCCTGGGCCAAAGGCAGGCGCCAAACCGCTGCGCCACCCAGGGATTCCTTCATATGCATTTTAAATAAACTTTCTGAATTCCAGTTAGTGAACATACAGTGTAATAATAGTTTCAGGTTCATGATATAGTGATTCAGCACTTCTGTACAACACTCGGTGCTTATCACAAAGTGCACTCCTTCATCCCCATCACCTCTCTCTCCCATTCCCCACCCACCTCCATTCTGATAATCATGTTGTTCTTTATAATTGAGTCTGTTTCTTGGTTTCTCTCTTTTTTCCTCCTTTGCTTGTTTCTTAAATTCCACATATGAGTCAAATCATATGGTATTTGTCTTTCTCTGATTTTGCTTAGCTCTCTCTAGCTCCATCCAGGTCATTGCAAATATCAGGACCTCATTTTTTTTTAAGGCTGAGTAATAGTCCATTTTGGTGTGTCTTCTTTGTCCATTCATCAATTGATGGATACTTGGGCTATTTCCATAATTTGGCTATTGTAGATAATGGTGCTATAAACATTAGGGTGCATGTATCCTTTTGAATTAGTATTTTTTTATCCATATGCATTTTACAAACAACTTGTCAGTTTTTACACATATATAACCTTTTAAATTTTGATCTTGACATGTGTTGCTATTTTGATTTATTAAATCCCTTTTTCTTCCATTATTATTTTGAAATGGCATTTAAAGTTTTTTTAATTAATTTTTTAAAAAGATTTTATTTATTCATGAGAGAGAGAGAGAGAGAGAGAGAGAGAGGCAGAGACACAGGCAGAGGGAGAAGCAAGCTCCATGTGGGGAGCCCGATGTGGGACTGGATCCTGGGACTCCAGGATCATGCCCTGGCCGAAGGCAGGCGCTAAACCACTGAGCCACCCAGGGATCCCCTTTGTTGTTTTTTTTTAAAGTTGGTATTTTTAAGTAATTCTACACCCAGCAGGGGGCTTGAACTCAATCTGGAGATCAAGAGTTGCATGCTCCTCTGACTGAGCCAGCCAGGTGCCCCTGGCATTTAAAGTTTTGATTGAAGGGTTCATACTGACTTTTAACTAGGGCTCTCTTAGGACAGAAGCTAAGAATATTCTAGTACATTCACAAAGTATATTGTCATCATAAATTTCAGTTTACATATATTTAAACTTAGGTAGATGACATTTACAAAAAAGTAATTAGAAGAGTCATTATTATAATTACCCAAGTGCTGTTTCCCTTATAAAAAAACTTTGAAAATCTCCTGAGATTTTTATTAACTATTTTACTTTTTTTTTTTTACATTCTTCTTTTATGTGAAAAGAATAGGTCATCTTTTCCCTATACTATCTCTATATCTGGTGTCCATCCAAACTGTAAACAAATTTATCACTCCAGGTAAAAAGAAGGGAGAAATAATTTCAATTAATTCTTATTAAAACTTTCTTTTTTCAATAGGGCGTCATCGTTGTATTGGGGAGAATTTTGCCTATGTTCAGATCAAGACAATTTGGTCCACTATGCTTCGTTTATATGAATTTGATCTCACTGATGGATATTTCCCCACTGTGAATTATACAACCATGATTCATACCCCTGAAAACCCTGTTATCCGATACAAGCGAAGATCAAAATGAAAAAGGCTGCAAGGAACTAATATGTGAAACATCACTGTAAACTGCAAAAGCATTTGAAGAGAATGAAGTTTATGAAACTCTTGGTGTACTCTTTTTTTTTTAGTATAAGTTTAAAAGATAGCTAGTTTAACTTATGGTTTTTATATTTTCTTAACCGAATGGTTCCAACAAATCTAATGGCATTTCAGATATTTCCTAATAGTTTTATGGTGGCTATTTACTATATATGCTTTATTTAAGGAAATCAAGCTTACTAGTACGAAATTATTTACGGCGATCTTGGAATTGACAGATTCTAAATACAGTTTCCAGGTATTAATCTTAACAACAAACATAGCTCTTTGAAAAGTACATCCAGGGTATTCACATCTTGAACTAGATCTGCAAGTATAAATGCCCAGGGAGATACTTGGAAACCTTAGGTTATTTATTTACTGGGTAATGTTTGTGTGTGTGAGTGAGGATGGGTGGGGTAGGGAATAAACTCACATTTAAAGTCTTGGATAAAAAGGAATCCCATCAATTGTTTCAGTATGGTGATACCCAGCAATGATGGAGCTATGCTGTAGTCCTTTGAAATTTTAATTAGAAGCAATGTCTCCAGGAAACAGAGAGATCTGACAATGACTTAGTAATTATATTTCCTAAAGAACAATTATTAATACTAAATACTGTATATGTATCTTGATCTAATTACTAATTATTACCTATTTATCGACCTGATAAATTTGTATATGGTTCTACATGGTGACATATATGTGAAAAGTCCAAAATGAAGTCCTTAAGGAATAATTTTTTTTTCTCTTTGGCTCTAGGTGGTCTCCTGGTCCTCTCTAAAATCTAATTAGGGATGTTTCTATTATTAGTTCTGTTTATTAAAACTTAAATTTAGGTTAATGACCTTTTTTTTTAAATACAAAAATCAGGGGATTCCTGGGTGGCTCAGCGGTATAGCGCCTGCCTTTGGCCCAGGGCGTGATCCTGGAGTCCCAGGATCAAGTCCTGTGTCGGGCTCCCTGCATGGAGCCTGCTTCTCCCTCTGCCTGTGTCTCTGCCTCTCTCTCTCTCTCTCTCTCATGAATAAATAAATAAAAATCTTAAAAAAAATAAATACAAAAATTAGCAGGAACTTTAGCTTAATATAAAGGTACTATGAAGTGTAGAGTCTTTGGGAGTAGTGTCACTGGTCACATTGTGTGAAGCCTCTGTTTAAAAATCAACTCAAATTATAACTGGGGACCTGACTATATACCTGTAATTTAACCATATAATCAGTTTTTACTGGATGAGGCCAAAACGTTTTCCCTATGTATAAGGGGTGCGTTTTTTTTTGTAAGGTGTGGTGAGATCAGTGTTGTTTAGTGGGGGAGGTTGGATTTTTATGACGAGGCGGGTGTTGTGAGGGCTGATTGGTCTTTGGTGCGCGTTGGTTTTTTTTTTTGTGTGGCGGGTGGTGGCTTGTTGGGGGATTTGTGGGGTGGACGGCTGGGTGGGTGTTGGCTGGATAGCGGTGGTTAGGGGTGGGGGGAGTTATTTGTTTGCATGAGGTGGGTTAGTTGGGTTTTTAGGCGGGGTTGGTTGGGTGATGCGGAAGGGTTGGGTGGTAGTGCTTATGTAGTGGTAGTGGGTGGTGCATGCGTCAATGGTGGGGGGTTTACTATTTGCTATGTTGGGAGAGGGGTGGTTGAGGGGGATGTGCGAGGTTTGGGAGGGGTAAGGAAATGAATAGTAGACGGGGTTTGGGAGCGGGTGGGTGGGTGGTGAGTCGGCGTGTGCTGCTTGTCGTTTTATTTGGTGTGGGCTTAGGATTGGGGTGCCGGGGCATTCCCGTGTCTAAGTTGGGAGGGTTTTGCTTTGGAGGTGTGTGTGGTTGGGTCCGGGGGTGGGGGGGTTGAAGGACCGGATGTGGTGTGCGTATGGTGCACTATGTTTTGGGGCGATTTTCAAACGTGGTATTGTGGTTGGCGTGGATGGGTGATGGGTTGTGGGGGGGGGGTGTACGGGGGTTGTTTTTGGGGGTAATCACAGGTCTCCTATGGTCGGAGAGGCTGATTCGGGGCTCAGGTAGGCATGTGGGACGGCGTGGGGCTGAATTGGGGGGGAGGAGCGGGAACTATGGGGGTCTCGGGGCATGCAGGAGGGAGCCAGGGGGATATGCTGTTGGTTTGGAGTGGGTAGGATAGGGTTGAGGATTCGTTTCATTTCATACCAGAAAACCAACGGGACATTGATAGGCAACAGGGTGATGTCATGGGGGTTGGGCGGGGCGGGTTCAGCAGCGGAGGGGGATACGTTCAGGCGTTGTGAGTATTTTGGGTGGTTTGGCGCGTAGTTGGGGTGACTGGGGGGGAGGTGTTTTTGAACTGCTTGTTGGGCCAGGCGGGTTGTATTTTGAGGGTGAAGTCTTATGTTTGGTGTGTTCTGGATTTTTCAGTCAGGAAGAAGGGCGAGGGGGTGGGGGGATGGGTTGAGTGGAGGGGGTTAGTTGATTGTAGGTGTGGGTGTGTTGAGCGCTTGGGGTCGGGGACACACATTGCCGGGTTGGGGGGGAGGAATTTTGTTACAGTACCCGGGGTCTTGAAATTATGTGGGAGGCGTTGGTGGCTGCGTTTAGCACTGTGGTTAATAAAATTTAAGAGTCTTTCAGTTAAATGATTTTTGCATCATCCTAGTGGGCATGGCTTTGTGAAGGCACTTTTGGACACAAGACTAATGAAAATATCAATATAGTTTTTAAAAAATACTATATGTAGGTGTAAAGTTAATAGCAAGTCACATAGAAAATGCTTTCTCAAGGGAGGGAGAGAAAAATCCCAATAGTATTTTAAGATTAAGACAACTGTCTAAATCTCAAAGTATACATATTTCAGATAATGAGATAATCTGCACTGTGAGGGACTCGATGTTTGTGTCCCCCTCACCTCAAATTCTTCTTTGAAACCCATTCTTCAATTTGTCAGTATTCAGAAGTGGGGAGAAGTATTCAGAAGTTTGGGAGGTGATAAGGTCATGGGGGGAGAAGTCTCATGAATAGGGTTAGTGTCCTTATTAAAGAAGCCTCAGAGATCTCCCTTGTCCCTTCTGCCATGTAATGACAGAGCAAGAAGACAGTAGTCTGTGAACCAGGAAGCAGGCTCTTACCAGACACCAAATCTGTTGGCACCTTGATTTTTGACTTCTCAGCCTCTGGAACTGTAAGAAGTAAATTTCTGTTTTTTTGATAAACCATATAGTCTCTGGTATTTTGTTATAGCAGCCTGAATGGACTATGCTCACTTAAAAATGAGAAGTTTCAAAAAAAAAATAAATGAATAAAAGAAGTTTCAAATACAGTGTGGTTAAAATGGTGAAGTCATTTTTATTTCAGTACTTGACAAAATACCCCATAAAATTCAAAACTTCTACCATTATACAAAAATAGGTCTCTACAAGTGATAGTATCTGTCTTCATCACCAGTAGCAAATATATTAGGGCAGAAACATGTAATTCAGTAGCCTTATAAGAAAAGTGCTGGACACCTCAAGCTACACATTCAGCAGTATCATAATGCGCAAAAGTTTAATCTTTTCACCCATTCGATAAATACACAAGTCTTATAATTTAATCATTTAAATTAGCATTCCACAAATATACATGTAATTTAATGATTATTGTGCATGAATACATACACAATGCTAATATGTACAAATTCCAGTTTGTTTTCATGTGCTGGCAAGAGATTTGTATACAATCATAAGCTGTGTTCATATTGATCCCGCTGAATATCCACAATACAAAAGCACAAAAGAATGGACTTACAAAAGGGATTTTGTTTAAAATCACTGATTCATGTTTCAAAGGATTATCTTCTCATGCCAGCATGAAACTGGGTTGAACCTATGAGAGAAAAACAAGACGTAAAATATTTTAAAATAAATTGCTGCCCTTTGCCAGACTAATTAGAACAGGCATACCATGGTGATACTGCAAGTTTGTTTTCAGACTATTGCAATCAAGTGACTATTCAATAGAGTCAAATAAATTTTTGTTTTCCCATGCAAATAAAAATTATGTTTACACTATGCTATAGTCTCTTAATTGTTTATGTAATAGCATTATGTCTAAAATTACAATGTACATACCTTTAACACTTTATTATTAAAAAGTGCTAATCATCATCTAAGCTTATGATCTTTTTGCTGGTAGAGGGTCTTGATGTTGAAGGCTGCTGACCATGTTGGCTGCTGAAGACTAGGGTGGCTGTGGCAATTATTTCATATAAAAATGATATTTGCTGCGCCAATTGGCTCTTCTTTCATGAACAATTTCTCTGTAGCATGTGATGCTGTCTAATACCATTTTACTCAGTTTAGAACTTTCAAAACTGGAATCAATCCTCTCAAACTCTGCTATTTTATCTACTAAATTTATGTAATATTATAAATCCTTTGTTATCGTTTCAACAATCTTCACAGCATCTTCACTAAGAACAGATTCTATCTCAAGAGATCACTTTTTTTTTTTTTTGCTCTTCCATAAGCAACCCCTCAACCATTAAAAAGTTTCATCATAAGATTGCAGCAATTTAGTCCCATCTTCAGGCTCTACTTTTAGTTGTCCTACTATTTCCACCACAACTGCAGTTACTTCTGCCACAGAAGTCAATACTTCAAAGTCAGGCACCAGGTTTGAAATCAACTTCCAAACTCCTGTTCATGTTGATATTTTGACTACTTCTCATGAATCACAAATGTTTTTACTGGCATCCAGAATGGTGAATCCTTTCCAGAAGGTTTTTGGTTTACTTTGCTCAGATCTGTCAGGGAAATCTCTATCTATGGTTGCTAGAACCTTACAAAATATACTTTATAAAGTATAAGACTTGAAAATCAAAATTACTCCTTGATCCATGGGCTGCAGAATGGATGTTGTGTTAGCAGGCATGTAAACATTAATCCTGTTTTAAATCAGAGCTCTTGGGTGAGCAGGTGTATTATCAATGAACAGTAATATTCTGAAATCTTTTTTCCTGAACAGATCTCAACAATGGGCTTAAAATACTTAGTACACCATGTTGTAAAAAGATGTGGTGTTCTATCCAGATGTAACACAGGCAGAGCAGATTTACCATAACTCTTATGGACTCTAGGATTTTTGAAATGGTAAATGAGCACCGGCTTCAACTTAAGTTACCAGCTGCATCAGTCCCCGAGAAGAGAGTCAGGCCATCCTCTGAGGCTAGACACTGACTCTTCATCTCCAGCTATGACAGCCCTAGATGGCATCTTCTTCCAAAAGAAGGCTATACTGTCTACATTCAGCATCTATTATTAAGTGTAGCCACCTTCATGAATTATCTTAGCTACATGTTCTGGGTAACTCAGAGCTTCTACATCAGCACTTGTTGCTTCACCTTGCACTTTACGCTATGAAGACTTCTTTCCTTAAAACACATCAACCAACTTCTGCTTGCTTCAAACTTTCTTCTACAGCCTCATTAACTCTTTCAGCCTTTATAGAATTGAGGAGAGTTAGGGCCTTGCTCTGGATTAGACTTTGGAATAAGAGAATGTTGTGGTTGGTTTGATATTCTACCCAGACCACTAAAACTTTCTCCCTATCAGTAATAAGGCTGTTTGGCTTTCGTATCATTTGTATGTTCACTGGTGTAGCACTTTTAATTTCCTTCAAGAACTTATCTTTTGCATTTATACCTTGGCTCTTTGGTGAAATCTTGGCTTTTGACTTGCCTTGCTCACTGATTTTTTTTTTAAGATTTTATTTATTCATGAGAGACACAGAGATAGAGGCACATAGGCAGAGGGAGAAGCAGGCTCCTCACAGGGAGCCCAGTGTGGGACTCGATCCCCAAACTGGGACCAGATCACGTCCTGAGCCAAAGGCAGACGTCCCACCGCTGAGCCACCCATGCATCCCATTCCTCACTAAGCTTAATCATTTCTAGCTCTTGATTTTAATAAAGTGAGATGTGTGACTCTTTCATGTGAATACCTAGAGACCATTGTAGGGTTATTAAACTGGTTTAATTTCAACATTGCTGTGTTTCAGGAAATAGGGAGACTCAAGGAGAGGAAAATAGAGGCATGGCTGGCTGGTTGGTGGAACAGTCAGAACACATATATTTATTAAGTATGCTGTCTAATATGGGCACTGTTTGTGGTGCCTCCAATACAATTACAATAGCAACATCAAAAATCACTGAGCACAGGTCTAATGAAAAAGTCTAAAACATTTGTGAGAGTTACCAAAATGTGACAGAGACATGAAAGTGAGCAAATGTTGTTGGAAAACTGGCACCAAGAGAGGTGCTCAGACACAGGGTTGCGATAAACCTTCAATTTGTAAAAAATGCTTATCTGCAGAGTGCAATAAAGTGAAGGACAATAAAAAACAAGGTATGTCTGTAGTGATTTCAGATTAGTTTTCTACCTACACCAGATTAACTAGTTCATGAAGGGCAGAAGATTAATATTACCCTTCATTAAAAAAATGCTTTTTGGGGCCCCTGAGTGGCTCAGTTGGTTAGTAGCTTGGGTCTCCATCTTGATCTCAGGGTTGTGAGTTAAAGCCCTGCATGGGGTTCTGTGCTGGGCTGAAGAGCCTATTTTTAAAAAAATAACCAATAAAAAATGCTTTTTATTTTTCTAAAAACATCTTATTCATACTTGAACTGACTTTAATTTTTTTAGATTTTAGATTTATTTGAAAGAAAGAGCACGTGCACATGAGTGGAGGCAGTAGAGGGAGTGAATCTTCACAGCAGACTCCCTGTTGAGCCCAAAGCCCAATGAGGGGCTTGATCTCATGACCCATGAGATTATGACCTGAGATGAAACCAAGAGTTAGATGCTCAACTGACCAAGCCACCTAGGCACCCCTGAGCTGATTTTTAGAAGAGATTTTGAATATATATTCAAAAGTCACTGTGGCTCTACAGCAAGGTAAAACTAATGTTAAGATTCTCTTTGAAGTACCCAGCAGGTTGAATGTTCTATCCTATACCTCTTGCCTCTTGAAAAATCTTTTGGTCTTTAAAATCTGAGTCTTGTGAAATCTCAAATGCTCAAAACAAAATATAAACCAAACCAAACCATACCAGACAAAGTCCAGCTATGATAATAACAGTTTCATATGACTACAAGTTGCTTGGGTTAGGTGATTTCTTGTATGAGGAGACAAACTCCTAAAAATAACCTGCTGGGGATCCCTGGGTGGCTCAGCGGTTTGGTGCTTGCTTTCAGCTCACGGCGTGATCCTGGAGACCCAGGATCTAGTCCCACGTCGGGCTCTCTGCATGGAGCCTGCTTCTCCCTCTGCCTGTGTCTCTGCCTCTCTTTCCCTCTCTCTGTGTATATCATGAATAAATTTTAAAAATCTTAAAAAAAAACCAACCCTGATGTTAGTGCTACCTAGTTTGTGAGAATAGTAGGAAAAAAACGGTCTTTCACAAAAGTAAAAACAAAATATAAAAGTAGATTTTAAATTAATTTAAAGCACATTAAATTAAGAAGCACATAAATTAATTTGTGTGCACATAAAGCACATAATTTAAGCACATAAATTAATCTAATGCACTTTAAGAAGATTCAAACCACTGAATCGAGTGAATTTGAAGGGAGATAGGGAAAAGAGATTGTCCCACAATGAATAAGGAATCCACACATCTATTAAGTACAAATTTTTTTTTTGTTTTTGAACAGAGGGGAAAAAAGGTCATACTTATAGTCTTTTGAATGGAATAGGTTTCATGGATCATGCATAAAAAGCACTGGGTCCTAGTAGGGATAATGGCTGCATTAAATGCTTAAGATACTTGCTTCCTTCTCTCATCTCCCCACCCCTAATTTGCATGCCAACATATTACGGTTATTGACCAATGAACAATGTGGGGGTGAAGGGTGCTGACCTCTTACACAGTCAAAAATCCATGTACAACTTTTGACTTCCCCAAAACTTAATAGCCTACAGCTAAGAAAGCCTTATAGGTAACAGAGTCCATTAACACATATTTTTATATTATATCTTGTATTCTTTTTTTTTTTTTTTTTTTTTTTAATTTTTATTTTTTTATTTAATTTATGATAGGCACACACAGAGAGAGAGAGGCAGAGACACAGGCAGAGGGAGAAGCAGGCTCCATGCACCGGGAGCCCGACGTGGGACTCGATCCCGCGTCTCCAGGATCGCGCCCTGAGCCAAAGGCAGGCGCCAAACCGCTGCGCCACCCAGGGATCCCTATATCTTGTATTCTTACAATAAAGCTAGAGAAAAGAAAACAGTAAGAAAATCGTAACACAAAATACATTTACAATTACTGTAGTGTATTTAGTGAGAAAAGTCTGTATATAAGTGGCCCTGTGCAGTTCAAACCTGTGTTTTTCAGGAGCATATACTTAGGAACATGTTCTCCAGCAGACTCGTAAGCCTCAGGACTTTGTACACTGGTGCCTGTTGTGCATTTCATCTAATCAATCAGAGTAGGGAATCTATTTTTTGTGGGAGTGAAATCTGAGGTGATAAATCATCTCTTGAGTTAAATTCCTAAGTCTAACCTGGTAACTCATGAACTAAACTCTAAGATTTGATTATCTAATGAGGAAGGTCAAAAAGTTTCAGAAAGAGAATGGAGAGCTCTGGGTTGGTCCAGCACTATGGGGCTGCTAATAATAATAATAATACATATGGTAAAGCTGAGAGTACCTGACTGTACAGTTCCAAGTCGTCTCTGTAGGGCTTCTAGCCGTGTGATATAATCTGTCAGGGCTCTGTCGGGGTCATAATTCTGAAGCTGAGAACATGCTAATGAACTCGGATTTAAATCAGCCGGAGGGCCTGGGTACCTATGAAATTAAAAATATGAACATGAAGCCAAATTATCCACAAAGCAAGTAATGTAACAACCTGCTTCCACCCTGCCCTCAAAAGATAAATCTGTAACTTGAGTTATGAACATAAACTGGCAAGAAGAGTCAGAATTCACATTTGAATGTTTCTGTACTATGTGTCTTCAGTTGGTCCATAGGTAGCAAAGTATTTGGCTTTGCAGATATGTAGTTCTTGGTTTGACTATGAACTTCAGTTTTCTAATGTGCAAGGCTGAATGTGGATTAGAGATTCTGAATGTATATAATCCAGGATCAGAGAAGGCTCCAATAATCATTAATTATTGTTATAATTATGTTATTATGTAATATATCTAATATAAATATTAATGTCATCCCTATATTTTCCAGTGATCTTACTAAGAATCAGATACTTAATATTTTTATATTATTAGGGTTAAAAACTGAAACTAGAGAGAATTGTAACTTTGCAATATTAGCATGTGTGTGGCCATGCTAAAAATAGATGTATATAATTTGTTAGTTCTTGTCTAGTGATAACACCTGATATGTTCTTCTAGATTCATAAGCATGTTCATAATCATTCTTTTCTTCACTTAGTTGGCTGACATGTCCTGTCAGCTCAGCATTTTGCCCCAGTAGTCTTTCAGTCAATGAGCCTCAATAAGTACTTGGGGACCTAAGCGTAGAAAAGCTAGGCTTAATCTGTACCCTCAAATGTCTGAGCTTGTGATGCATAAGGCAAAAAAATTTCTAATAAACTCAAGGCAGCTATTAAATCGACATAAAAGTGGCCAATACAATGCTTGTTGCAAAAGTCCTCAAGAAACACTGTATGTACAAATGCATCTTATCATGTAGACTTTAGAGGTTTTTTTTTTTTTTTTCATAATCCCCTGAGACTGTTAATTGTAGTTAATACTTTTCCCAATATCTAACCACAGCATCTACCAAAAGAGATACCTGGTCAGTTCAGTTTCCTATATCCTTGGAAACCAGGTATAAATCCAAAAAGTACTTTTGATTCTGAGCCTTAGATTATATACAACATATGCAACTAAAGATACATCTAGTTATTTCGATGCAAAGGAGTCAAAGCCCTAACACTGTACTCCATTCTCTGTTAAAAATTAGTATAGGTAGCTACTCCAGGCATGCTTATCAAATTCTTACCTATTTTGAAAAGGTAAAGGAGACCTAGGATAGTCCAGCTCTGATCTTGATCGATATGTAGTGTGTCTTGGTTCTCCATAGAGCTCCAGCCCACCAGAAGAATGATAAAATGGGTCAGTCTTTTCAGCACCTAAAGTATCCCAAAATGGACCACATTGTAAAGGAAAAAAAATATTAAGCCCTTGAAAAATTTCTACAAAACAGATAAAGGCTCAAAGGACTATAATACTGTATTATACAACACTACCTCCTATTTATACTCAATTTCAGTTATTCTTTCTAAAGAAGAGAAAAAACAATAGAACTATTAGTTTTCCCTTGAATATAAGTATTTCTGACAATCTGGAACTATACCTCAAAGAAAATAAACTATTTAATCGGAATATTTTCTTTTTAAAAGATCTCTTCCTAGTTATAATTAGAGGTGAAGTGAGGGGTATTTGAGTGTGTGTAGTTTCGGGAAAAAGATGATGTGGATAAAAAATATTACATCACACCATTCTACTTTTATTAGAAAAAACCTGAAATCAAGATTTGCTAACTTATAGCACAGAACTCCTTATGGTATAGATTTCAGCTGTTTCTGTGTAAGGATGCATATTTCAAGGCACTTTGTTTAGGATACCAAATATATTTCCTCTTTCTCTGCTTGGTTACTGGTAGAATATGTAAAGGTGGTTTAATACCAATACATAGCTGCATTAATACAGTTACGCTGTGTGCCTGAAACTCTGTATACTCCCCAGCTTCTGAGTTCATCCACATGCCTAAAATGTTGAAATTCGAATGTTTGTTTCCACTTTTAGGTGTAGACAGAAGGAATCTTAACTGTTACCATTATATACAACCTATATGTAAACTCAGAAACATAAATACTGCTAAATTGTGAAAACTTCAAACCATAAATTCCATAAAACTGAGTAACAGCAATCCTATCTGGAATCAAACTCTTACATGCAGTTCTTAAGGGGTGCTGGCTCTGCCACTTCCTACTGGGTAATCCGGGGGCAAACAAATGCTTCCCATGCCTTAGTTTTTCTTCTATAAAGTGAGAATAACAGTAGCCGTGCTTATATCAAAGGATTGGGAGAATAAATGAGAATACGTGGAAAAAGCAGGGCTTAGTACAGACTAAGCAGTCCATAAAAATCAGCTCTCTTTACTCTTTAAAACAGCAAAGTCCCCAGCTCTGTTGGTATAGGGCTCTGGTCTTTGGACAACACAGGTCCCAGAACACATTATTTGGAATATATTACACAAACAGTAATTTTGAGAGAATCATAAACACAAGAAATCCTATTTTGACTTCACCTGGATTCAGTCCAAAGCCATCCCTGTTAATATTGATGGAACCAGAACTTGTGACTCGTTGCCACCGTCGAACCAAAAATTTCATTCTAAAAAAGATGCCAAGAAAAATTTCACAGCACATATATAATGGAAAGAGTATAAATACACATATCCCACAAAATGATGTCAAACATCTGAATATGAACACAGAACAACTTTCAACACAGTCACATGACTGCCTAATCTAAAATCATGCAAATGTTCTCTGGTTTGTGGCAAAATAAACTGGAAGAGAATAGACTGGCTTCCCAAGATGCAGCAGAGGTCTCTTCTGTTGCCAGCACTAGGTTCTGACTTCAGAGGTTTAGGACACAAAGAAATGAAGGGCAAAAACCGAAAAAAGAAAAGTGGATGAGCAAAGAAAGGATGAGAAATAATCAAAGAGAAAAGAATGGGGTGCCTGGGAGATCCCTGGGTGGCTCAGCGGTTTAGTGCCTGCCTTCGGCCCGGGGTGTGATCCTGGAGACCCGGGATTGAGTCCCATGTCGGGCTTCCTGCATGGAGCCTGCTTCTCCCTCTGCCTGTGTCTCTGCCTCTCGCTCTCTTTCTCTCTGTGTCCCTCATGTATAAATAAATAAAATCTTAAAAAAAAAAAAAAAACTTAAAAAAAAAAAAAAGAATGGGGTGCCTGGGTGGCTCAGTTGGTTAAGCATTTGCCTTCAGCTCAGGTCATGATCCCGGAGTCCTGGGGTTGGGCCCTGTTGGGTTCCCTGCTCAGCGGGGAGTCAGCTTCTCCCTCTTCCTGCCCCCTGTTTGTGTTCTCTCTCTCACTTTCTAACAAATAACATCTTTTTTTTTTAAAAAAAAAAAGATAAAAGAATGGAGATTATCATGCAAATGAGATGGAATGAGAATAAACAGACCTTCACCCTGGCAGTGAGACTAAGCTGGGAAAGCTGGAAAATAAGTGCGGCCATGGGATCAGGGCCAAAAAACAATAAGGCTTTAAAAGGAATGGGGGTAGGAGTGTTGCAGATCAGCTATAGCGAGGTGCTGCCTCCCCTACCCTGGCCCAAGGAACTTTCTGGAACACTAATTTTGATTTCTTAATTCCAATCAGTTGCAAAGCTCAGTTTTAGGAGGGTGAAAATACAATAAACATACAGGAGGGCAAAAAAGAGGGAGTTAGAATGCAGTCCTTTATTAGCAACTGGCTTTCATGGAACCCTCTCAAATTCTTCCAATAAAATTAATAACTAACTCCTGTGACCTGTCACTTAGTGCCTAAGTTATGAGCATACTGGTTTTTCCTACTAGGAAGTGAGCTGTCTTTAGGGATTTTGGTAAGGTTTGTATTTTTTCTTCATCAGTAAGTGCATCATCTAGCACTTAACCCTATACAGTGTACAAGGTAATGAAAGGAATGGAAGATAAGGAGAAACTGGAACCACCTGACAACAATGTGAAGGAGCAGAGGCAAGGAGGGTCTCAGACCATTAATAAAATAAAATGTGAGCTTCCTTTACAGAGCCCACATGGATGAGACTTGGGAGCCCTGGGTGACTGTCCTAGCTCTACCACTACTGGCTTTGCAATCCTTCTGTGTGCCTCAGTTTCCTCATCTGTGAGATGGTATTCTAAACTAGGTGATCTCAGACAACTTCTAGTTAAAAAATTCTGTCATATTTTTCAAGGAAAAGACAGGTCAAGGATAAAGGACAAAACCCTCTGAAGACCTAAAATCATCAAATGTGATCTGATAGGAAGAACTTTAAAAACTAAAAATTCTTCTGAGACTGTCTGGTTCCTATATAAATAAAAGGGAGGGGAAGTATGAAGAAGCCTAGGGGCCTGAGTATGAAGAAGCCTAGGGGCCTGAGTATATATCACCCAGGTGAGAGTTTGAACTCTCCAAACTCTGAGAAAGTTTGGTATATATCACCTAGGTGAAGTCAGGACTCAGACTCCCTTCAGTGGGGAGTCCTGAGTGGCTCCATTTCAATCACACACAGAATGAGTACCAGAGTTCCTAGCCTGGAACTACTAGAGGAAGAGTTACAAAAGCACTAGCATAGTCCAATGCCCTAAAGGCTAACCTTCGGTTTGAATGCAGATGTTAGGCCAGGGCTTTGTGTAGCTGAACCCCATGAGTGGGTTATTCTAGCAATGAAGAAAATGAACGTGTAGCCTAAGTAATTTTTCAAAAACATTTTTTTCCCTTTTGTGATTCCTTTTATTTATAGGTCTGAGCTAGTTCATAGCCTTATTCAGAGTTAAAAAATAAAACAAAACCAAAACACAATCCAGATGGGATGTGCCAGCTCTGAGTTACTAGCTACCTGCACCTGGGAAGCCCTTTTCATAGGATCTTCATGGTGCAATATAAGGTATCCCTGGCTACAAGAATGAAAGAAAGAAATCGGCATGTTTTATTGATGATAAATGTCTCATACTACATGAATACAGAGCATACTAGGCAGAGAAAGGAGAGGATTAAAAATCTAAATCCTTTCAGATTCTATTAAAATGCATTTTATTTCCAACACTTTACCTAGAAATTGCCATGGACACTCTGACGGCTGACCGAAACCTGGTGAAGCCCCTTGGACGATTGGTGATCACCTCTAGGTCTGTGAAGGCTGGCTGTCCCCCCATCCGGGCCAGCAGAGCCAGGGTGGCATCTTCACATTCCTGGAACCCACCCAGTAATAGCAGCAGGTATTTCTTCTGATAAATGAGAGCTTTCCGAAAACTTTCTGCCCTCAGGTATTTACCATAAATTCTCTATGTTAAAAAAAAAAAAGGGAAGAACATAAAGACATTATTGAAAAGCCATTCAAATTGTTCTCTAGGGGAAGATAACATAGATTTTATTTTACAAAAGTACTAGTAGTGGAATGGCAGATATCCTACTACTGTTTTCCATTTGATCAGCAAAGTTGAAGGTAAAGATAATCAACCTTAGATTTTACATTTCTGCCTCTTTTTGGTCCATGGAATGTGACTACAAACCTTATATTTAGGTTTGGGGTTTCATTTTGGAGTTTAGGCTCTATTCATCATATTCATTGCAAATATTTTTGTCATTCCATTATTATCTCAGTTTTTTCTCCTCTAACTGCACAGAGCTACTTTTATTATTATGGTCGCTAATCTTTTTTTTCTTTAAAGTTTTCAATGTTAATGTTCTCTGTCTCTTCAAGAAGCATAAATTTATGTTCACTCCATAGTTAAAAGAAATATTCCAAACACTTTTCTTTCTGTTTTGGATTTTATGTTAACGGATTAAAAGCAGTTTTAACTACAGTATTCATTATAGTCAGGAGAAAGGCAGTTCAGAGGGTTTACCATCTTACAGAACATGATGCTCTGGTATTGAATGTAGTAGAGCTTTTGTTGGCAGTAGAAATGAAACTTTCTGTTGGTCTTCAGGGATGAAATGGTGGAAAGCAGGACCGTGAGCTCGCGGTGCTGCCAGTACGGCATGCCTTGCCACCAAGTTTTTGTGACCAGCTGGAGGCCTGCACTCATGAGGCACATCGAATAGTGAGAGACTTAGAGGCAGCCTGAGCGCCACCTAAATTTCTTTACTCTGTTCAGTTAAGGTTAGTGAGAGATGAAACAAGGCAAGAGGACCAGCCTTGGTACATGTTTAGATGGAAGATGTTTCCTACCTTTATAGTGGCATGCTCTGAATCAGGGCTCAGGTTGTGAAGTAAAGTTTCATTTCTTAGTTCAGCTTTCAGTTTATACACTTCAGCTTCTGCTCTTTTCAAGGATTTTTGGAGAGTCAACTTTTCTCTGTTCCAGATTTCTTTTTCAGAAGCAATGATGGCTTCAATGCTGGCACCACCACTGAATGAAAACCTGGAAGACTGCAGAAACGAGAGCCCACTTACATGAGTTTTAGGAATAAGTCTCTGAAGAAAAATCTAAATTAAACACATTAAAGGTATCCCCTATGGGATCTCAGCTTTCCAATCTCAGAGAGGGAGAGTTCAACAGCAATCTCAATTGATAGTAAAGAATATACATTAAGGATATGGTCCTTTGCTTAGTAGATTAATTTTAAAACAAAATCTCTATGGAAGCCTCACCCAAAAGACAGTGCTTAGATTTTTGCAGAGCTTTGAACTATAAAGTCTAGAGACTTAATAAATGGACCATCTGGGTTCAAATGTAGAGCCTAACCCTGAAACAGCGGCTTGGGGGAGTGCAGAAAAAAAAACCCGGCATATACACAGGGAAGTGGATCCATGCAGAAGCTCTGTGCATGTGTTATCCTGTATTTGTCTCAGGAGTCCTTTCTATCTTTATATTATATTCCTATCTTTATATTACAGAAGCTAGCAATTTATTTTGTAGTTTTTAACTGGAAAAAAATTTAAATAAACTGCTAGAGTGGTTTATTAGACTGAAATAAATAATTTAATGGCATCTTTCACTTGAGTCACAAGCATAATAACTGATAATTAACTGATGAGGAACAGTCAGAATTCACATTTGAACATTTCTTAACATGGACCCACTGGTGGTTCATAGGTAGCAAAGTATCTGGCTTTGGAGATAAGCAGTTCTTGATTGGACTACAGACTTCAGTTTTCTCATGTGCAAGACTGAATGTGGATTAAAGATTCTGAATGTACAGAACCCAGGATCTGGCCCAGAGAAGGCCCCCAATAAATGATATCTATTATTATCATTATTATTGTCATCTCTCTACCATTTTTCAATGATCTTACTAAGAATCAGATATCTAATATTTTTTATTAGAGTTAAAAATTGAAACTAGAGAGTAGAAATTGTAACTCAGCAATATTTCTAACATGGTCACACTAAAATCAGACGTACATAATCTCTGCCAGCTCCTATCTGTCGATACCGCCTGATTTGTTCTTCTAGCTTCATAACTGTATTTCTCAAATCATTCTTTTCTTCTGTCAGTTGGCTGATATGTCCTGTCAGCTCAGCATTTTGTCTTAGCAGTCTTTCAGTCAACGAGCCACAAGAAGTACCAGGGGACACTAAACCAGGCTAGAAAGAGAAAATGGTACTAAGGTCGTGTAAGCACAGATGTTTATGAACAATGCACATCAACATGTGAGCAGACACTGAGAACACCAGATTTCATGATGAAGTGGTGCTTGAACTGAGTCTTAAATAACTAGGAAGCATTTCATAGGTAGGAAAGAAGATAGGGAAGAGCATATTAAGCAGAAGGAATAGCATGTGTAAAGGCACAAGGGTTTTGTTGGAGAGTGTGTTGCTTTTCAGGAGCTACAGGTTGCTTGGTTACGTTAGAGTAAAGGCTGCCTTCACTTTATAGATAATAGACCTAAATGGAGGCAGGAGAGCCCTAAAGGCTTTCAGAGTGTGCTACAAACAAAATTTATGTCTTAAAATATTCCTTTGGGGGCACATGAGTGGCCCAGTCAGTTAAGCATCTGCCTTTGGCTTGGGTCATGATTCCAGAGTCCTGGGATCGAGCCCTGTGTCAGGATCCCTGCTCAGTGGAGAGTCTGCTTCTCCCTCTCCCTCTGCCCACCTCCTGCTCATGCTCTCTCAAATAAATAAAATCTTAAAAAAAAAATTCCTTTGCTAGCAGCGTGCACAGTACAGTAAATTAGGGAAGATAGATCCTGGTGTCAGTTGGACACATCAGGAAGTCATTACAATAGTTTACAATAGAAATACTGGAAGCCTGAATAAAGGCAATGACTAAGGGCACGTGGGATATTTAGGAAGTAAAAGCACAGGACTTCATTACTACTAGGATACACAAGTGAGAGTGAAGGAAGGTAGTCTAGGGTGACTTCCAAATTCCCAAAGTGGGCTCTGTCAGGACCAGAAACATGGGTTGGGGACAGAGGAGAAAAAAAAGAAGGCACAGTTTAGAATGTGCCTGTGAGGTTCCTAAGGGGTCACTATGAGGCACATTTCCCCAGAGAAAGAGTTCCTATAACTAATGGAAAATATAAATCTGGATTACAGGATAGAGGTATATAGACTAGAACCACAGACCACTAAAAGATAGAGATCTAAGTGGTGAGATCTTTATCACATTTATTCATTGTAGCCCAAAACCCAGGGTAGTAACTGGCACATAACACATGCCTTATGTAAGTATTTGTTCAATAAATAGGTCTACTGAGAACTCAGGCTGTGGGAATAAATGAGCTTTCACAGAGGAACAAAAATGGATCAGGATAGGAGGAAGAGGAATTCATGAAGGTGACTGATGAAAGAAATGGAAGAAATATACTGAGAATATACGGTCACAAAATATACTGAGAATATACTGTCACAAAAGGTAAAAAAAGGAGGTTTTTAAGGTGAGGGAGGTCAAAGGTATCAAATGCTACAAAAAAGTTAAAAAGACAGGGAATGAAAAGATTCATCAGATTAGTCAACTATGAAGACAATGGTGGCATTCTGTGGGTGGTTTTGAGAGTGGTGAGATAAGCCAGACTTGATTATCATAATCTTGAAACTTAATTATCATAATATAATAAAATGCCACTATAGTTATTCAACAATGATAATGAAAATTAATTTCCCCTCAAATTTTCATTATTGTCTGTTAGGGAAGAACAAATATTAATATTTAAATTAAAAGACAAAATTAAAACTCTTTAGAAAATACAGTGCCAGTTTCAAATGATTCACATAGCTCCATTAAATCTTTGTTATTGATATCTTATAAAGAGTTTTTAAAAGTTTTACCTCTTCCCCTGGCTGTCCGGTTAATTTTTGCAGTTGTAAAATAATTCCATCAATATTTTCCTGAACCCAAATGAAGTCTTCATCATCTGCTGTTTCAAACTGTAGTCTTCAAGGACAAAGACAAAAAGTCAAAACAGATCTTTCTCAATTAGTGGTGTTGACTAGCACAAACTTGACAGATCAGGTGACACTCTACTTTACTTGTTTTCTCCCTCACACTGAGTATTCTCTTTCCAGGGCTTAAGGTGCTGAGATATTTGTTTATAGGTAGAGTTTTGTTAAAGAATACCATCTTCTAATTTGAACATGCAGTAACTTTACAATTTCACTGTTCCCTGCCCCAGTGGCTAGCTATTACTGAGGGGCAGGTTTTACCCAGCTTGTGTAGAAGAATGTCATCTCTAAGGGTCAAGAGAAAAAAAAAAATCTAACCTATTGGAGGCTTTCTGGGCCAGATGCTGTAGTTTTGAAGCCACACATTGAAGCTTTTGTCTGATCATTTCTAATTCATGATTACAGCCAGTTCCTCCTTCATTCATTTCAATCAGTTTAAGATAGCTTGATTCCTTTGTCTCTCCTTCTATTTTCTGTTGAAGAACCCAATTTCTAGTTCGATCACTGGTTAAACTCCATGTAGTTGGCTAGCAATTTTCAACAGAAAAAGAAAAAGCAGTATCAATGAACAGCAAATCAACACAATTATGGTTTATACTCCAAATAAGCTTCTATGAATCTCCTTTTTAAATCATTTGTTCATAACTATTTAAGTAATTCAATCCAATAGCAGAAGTGTATGTTCAAAGGGCTGTAGTACTATCTCAAAAAACATTTTAATACAGTGTCAATTTACCTCATTAAGATTCTGATAGAGAATTCTTCTACTTTCTCGTTTTTCTTCTCGTTCTAGTTCTTGCTTCTGGAATTCCTGCATAATTCCCTGTAGTCGCTTTCCTTCAAGGTCTAACTTATAAACTTGTTGCCTTTTCTCTTCCAGCTGGCGCTGAAGATCTTCTACTTTGGACTGGAGCTCATGCATTTTTTTCTGTCCTTCAGTGTTGGCCTCTTGTTCTGTCTGCAACGTCTTCCTGTGAACCTGCCTATCCTTTTCCATCTGCTGTCTTGTTTGCAAAGAATCCAGTTTATATTTCTCAGTCTCATTTAACAATTCTACTATGCGACTGTGCTTCTCCTCTAGCTGTTTCTGTAGCTCTTTAAGGAGGTCCTCAGAGGGTAGGGAAGGCCGAGGCTGCCCACTATCATCACTGCTCTGCAGCTGAGCATGCAATTCCCGCTCCCTATCCAGGGTACTACTCATTTCCTGTATTCGAACTTTCTCAGATTCAAGAAGTACTTGAAGCTCTAAGTTTCGACCTCGTTCTTCTGATAACTGGGCATCATGTAGCACTCTTTGTGATTCTATTTTCTCCTGTGATTCATTTAGTAGTTGTTTCTGTTGCTCCAACAGTAGATTTAGCTGGATATTCCTTTGTTTCTGACCCTCAAGTGAAAATTTCAAATCCTTATAGGAGAAAGTTGAATTTAAGAATTTGTTAATATCATTAAAAGTCCTCTGTCAGTATAATTATTCTTTATTAATATTAAGATGGTAGTATTTGGTAATAGAACTGATTATCCAGTTTATTAACTTAAATTTTCAGTGGTTAGAGCATAATTATTTGGACAGCCAGATGATTTTCATCATAGAATATAAACAAAAGACAGGTAAGCTAAATAATACTTTCTCTCCAAATATTAATCATATTTAGTCAAGGAATATGAAGCAGTGTATATTCTTTCTAAAAACAATACCCTTTAAAAATACAAATATTTCCAATATATTGTGATATGAATTCCTGAAAAGCCTCATGTTGTCCAATGTCACACACTGAAAATAATATGGCTTATGGGGAAAGCAGGTTTAGGGACAAACTACTCAAAACTTACACAAATTTGTAATGATAAAAAACAGTAATCAGTACCCAAGGGGCTATCACGTTCTTTAGGTAAAGAGCTTACTATGCTAGGAGGCTACCAAGATGGACATTCAAAAAACCCCAGCAAAACAAAAGTAATAGGGCAGAAATGTCAGCTACGTAGTTTTTTAGCATACAGCTAGTGAGTACCATGTATGGACGGAAGTGGGCACTGTATGTGCAGTACAACCTGCCCTGAGCTGTGAGCTGTGCAAAGCTAGGGTGGGCCTCTTTCGAAGACAGTTCAGAGTGATAGGACTCATTTTAAATTTTTAAAAATATGGTAGTAAGGGCTCCTGCTGCCAGAGAGGTGTCACTATTCCCTATCCCTAGGGGAAAACAGGAACTAAAACTACTCTGCATTAAACTGAAATGGATGCCCCCCCCCCGCCCACCATCAAACTGTATATGCACAGAACTCAAATTCCCAAAACACACATTGTAGCAGAATAGTTTGTAGACACTCCTGGATGTAGCACAGCAAAAATGCACCCCACTATTAGCACTTCCTGTAGACAACAGAACAGTCTTTCATAGTGGTGAACAACTTACTGACCTCATAAGGAATCTAACATGTCTAAAATCTGATGTTTTAGAAAGAGGAAAGGTCTCCAGACTCTCTTCCTCTGTTGTTCCGGATTTTCCACAGGCATTTAAAGAAAAAGGTAACAATACCTCAAGTTCTTCTTTATCCCGCTCTTCATTGCGTCCCAGTTTGGCTTTTTCTTTCTCCAAAGCCCACTGGAGTTCTCTAGATTTTTTCTGTTCACTTGCTAATGTGTCATTAAGCAAATGTACTTCATCGGTTTTATCTTTAACTTCCAACCTAAATCAGAGACAATGAACTTTAATAAAATTACTTTGACCAAGTTTATATTGAGAGAAAGAGACAGCTTCCACTAAACAGTGGAAGCATATTATAAACTAGCTAACAGGAAAATATAAGCCAAGTACAGATTAAAGATTTTTGACTATGGTTTACTTCAAATTAACTGTTTCTAGTAATGCAACTATTAACTATTATTTAGCACTGTAAATAATTTATTTTTACAAATAACATTAATAAATTTTCCTTTGTCTTTTACTGAAAATGGGTATCACCATCATTCAAAATAAAGAATGACTGTCCTTGTAATGTGTTCTTGGCAAGCACAATATCTCATTATTTACACCAACAATTTACAAGCATTTTAAAACATTTTGTACGTAGTAGGTAAATGAACCACAAATTCTATCGAGATCATAAATATCAAATTGCTTGATGGTAAAACAGAAGTCAAAATTATGTATCTTATACAACAGTAAGTCTTCAACAGAACTGAACTCACAGCAGGGAATATGCCAATACCTAGTCATGAATTTATTATTTGGAAAAATTTGGAGTTTTTCCTCACCACTGTGGTTTTTCCTATAAATAACAAAGTTTCAGGTTATTTACACATTATGTATAATGTTATGCTTTTATAAGACCTGCACAATGTCTATGACAAAATTAATCCAACTCCTTCACTGATCCAGGCTTATAATAAGGAAGCTTGACACACCTGAACGCCTCTAATTCCTTCAGGTGCTTATGTTGTGCCTTGAGTGTTGTTTCTAGTTCCAGTTTAGTTTGTGCAAGTTCACTCTTCAGTTCAGCAACCACCATTTTCTCAGAACTCAGCTGTTCCTGCAGTTCTGCTGCTCTGTCCTTAACGCTACTGAGCTCCACCTGCATCTCCAGCATCTGAGACTGCTTCTGCTGCATCGTATACTCCAAGAGTTCTAAATGGAAAAGTATGAATACTTGAATTATGACCTGGCAACTCATATTTGGTTTATAAATATTTTATTGAGAACTGATTTTTAATTTAGGAGATTACTGCAAAGCAAATGTGAAAAGATTACAGTCCCAAAGTTGGCAATATTAATATGTATCATGAATACTTTTCTCATAGTACTAATGGTCAAGATTTCAGAACTATAAATACATAAGGATGATAACAGTTTAACAGAATATATCAATACAAGATGTGAAATAAAAGAATATTAAGGTGTTTATAAGTTGTATACATAAAAGTGTGTATTTTCTCATGTAGAATTTAATAGTTTATACTAAAAAATGCCAATGTTGATAGCCACACAAAGCACTTGCAAGAGTTTAGCATGTTACCACCACTAGAGTGATCAGCAAGTCTTGCTGGTTTTGTTTAGCTCCCTACACACACAGTCCCTAGGAACTTTACTGTCATAGAAGTTTAGATCAGTTTATTCTTTAAGCACCAACCAAAGCCCTGCTACAGATCTGTTACAATGAAAACAAATGAAAATATTTAAACTTTTAAGTACAATAAATGAAAAAAATGTTACAAAATATGCATTAGGATCTCATTTTTGCAAAAAACATAAATTGTATACTACAGCATTAACAAAGGTCTGCAGATAGATGTATTTACCTGGGTGAGGGTGATTTTTCCTCTATTTTTTTTGTTTTTCCATTCTACCTTAATGTATTTTCAACTGAAAAAAATTTTATCAAAGTTCACTGCTTTATATTACAATTCATATTACTGATGTTGGGAGGCAGGAATAACATTGGTTTTAGAAAATAGTCAATCTAGTTTTAAGCTTTTGTGTTTTTTTTTAGATTTATTTATTTATCTTAGAGAGAGAGAGAGCACAAACATAAAGGGCAGAGGGAGAAGGAGAGAATCCCAAGCAGATTGCCCTGAGTGCAGAACCTGACATGGTGCTCGATCTCAGGACCTTGAGGTCACAACCTGAGTTGAAACCAAGAGATGGATGCATAGCTGACTTTGCCACTCAGGTGCCCCTATTAGTTTAAGCTTTTAAAACTATTTCTTAGAAGAAGCTAAGGATCTACAAATATAAATATGTACCTACATATTAAGTTTTCCATGGGGTTCTATTTAACTTAAATAATAATAAAGTAAAATAATACTAATCAATTCTCTAAAAATAATCTTATATATTTATATATTTGTGATCTGATGAAAATGAGACTGTACTTTAATTCCTACTGATTTCCATTTGCAATTTAATTTACTACAACAGACATCCCTACAAAAAAGTGGGGAAAGTACATGAACAAGCATACCACAGAAGCAAAAATCCAGCTAGTTTATAATTAGTTTGGCATTACAAAATAAAAGTGAAATATTCTGTGACTCAGCAATTCCACCCCTGGGGTATATATACCCAGAAAACTCATGTATGTATGCAGCATGTGCAGAATAGCATAGGTTGTGAGAGCTAAAATAAATAAATTAATTAATTAATTAATTAATTAATTAAAAAAAAGAAACAATCTAAATATTCAATCACAGAATGGATATATAAATTGTGGAAATTCTACACAGTAACAAAAACAAACTGGAGATTAATGCAGTAACTTAGAAAAATATTATAGAGACGTAAAAGAAGATACAAACATATATAGAATAATAAAGTTCAAAAGCAGGAAAACTGTAAAAGCTTATATGGTTTAGGAATATACAAATAGGTAGTAAAACTAAAGAAAAATCAGGATAATAGTTACCTCTACGTTACCACAGAGGAGTGTGTTTGGGAAGGGAGCCTCTGAGGTACTTGACATGGGTGAAGTTTCCATAGATATTCATTTAAAGATTTGTTATTCTATATATTTTTGCATCTTGTACTTTTCTTTATGTATATTATAGTTTACAAATAATCCGTAAGAAAAGGATTAAAAAAGAAATAGTTACTCTCATTGTGGATTTCTTTTTCTTTTAGATAGTTAACTTCACAAAGAACTTCAAAACAAAAAAGGGTAATAAAAAAAAAAAAAGGTAATGAACTTAATGGGCTTGTTTTAAACACCCTGATCAAAGCAATGGCTGTTCTTTTAAAATTAAACACATTCGTTTAAAAGCCAATTGGACAATCTCTTAATTCCCAGAGTAATTAATGTAGATTATTTCCATGATATCAGAATAAGAAGAAAATGTGACTATAAGGAAATGTGTTTTTAAATAAGTAACCATACGAAGAAGGGAAACAGTGAAATATTTCAACCTATTTGCTGCTACCATGTGAACTTGACATACAGCATACCTTGGTTTGGTTGATCATTCTCTTGTTCTCTTTTCAGAGTCATTTTCCTACCATTCATCTGAGCATGCAGTGCTTGAATTTCAGATAACAAACTCCTTCTATCTGCTTTCTGGAGGCATTCCATAGCTGCTTGATATTCAATACTCTACAATAATGCAAAATAAAAAAATCAAGTGAAGAAGAGTGTCGTAAAAACAATAATATTAACAACCAGGAAGTCTGGGGAAAAAAATGGAACACATGCTAAAATTTTGGAAAGACACTAATTTTCACTTCCTGTTCATTAGGAACAGGAACTTTTTAATTATTCATTAAACAGTTCATTAAAATGAACTCAAACAGTTCATTAGGAACTTTTTAATTATTAATCTTCACATATACTTTGAAAAACTTCAAACATAAAAATAAGAACAAACACTCATGTACATAGCTTACAAAATAGCACCTGTACAGCTAAAGCCCTCTCTATACAACTCCCTGAGCACTTCCTCTGCAGCACCTGCTTCAGAAATACTCAAATTCTAAGTCTGGTGTTATTTTCATGCACTCTATATATTATGTACACAAATGTATCCTCAGCAATATACAGTATAGTTTTGCATGTTTTAAAACTTTATATAAATGGCATCATATGGTATATTCACCTTTGCATGATTTGCCTTTTTCACTTACGGAATTTAAGTGAATTTCATCATGTTGCTGAACCATCTGGGTTGACACACATAGCTCTATTTCACAATCATTTTCAATGTTATATAGTATTTGATAGTATGAAGTATACAGTAAAGCTTGAATATCTTTTCATATATTTATTGGATATATTTGTATAATTTGTCCATTTTTCCAGAGGTTGTTTTATTCTCATTGGATATCTGGTCAGTGGTTTCCTTTTCTTACGATGTCTTTGTATGGTTTAAGAATCAGAGCAATAATGGGGTCCCTGGGTGGCTCAGTCAGTTAAGTAGCCAACTCTTGATTTTGGTTGAGATCATGATCTCAGGGTCTCGAGACTGAGCTGCTTGCTTGTCAGGCTCCACGTTCAGTGGGGAGTCTGCTTGAGACTCTCTCTCCCTGCCCTTCCCCCTGCTCTTATGTGATTTTTTTCTCCTCTTTCTTAAATAAATAAATCTTAAAAAAAAAAAAAAAGAAAAATCAGAGCAACACTGGCCTCATAGAATTAGGATTAAGTTCCACATCGAGCTCCCTGCATGGAGCCTGTCTCTCCTTCTGCCTCTGCCTCTGCCTGTGTATTTGCCTCTCTCCCTGTGTTTTTCATGAATAAATAAGTAAAATCTTAAAAAACAATAATAATAAAATAAAATAGGCCCACAGGTTTTTTTCCTTGTATTATCTTTGTCTGATTTTGGTAACAGGGTTATAATAGCCTCTTAACAAAAACACAAGGCATTCCCCTAGTCATCCAACAATGGGAATGTTGGATGTTTAAGATTAAAATTAGTTATTCCTTGAATGTATGCTAGACTTCACCTGTAAAACCATTTGAGCTTGGTGTAATTCCTGGGGGTAGCAGGAACAATTTTTTAAATTGTTTTTATTTCCTATTTTGACATAATTTCAGACCTACAGAAAAGCTCCAAAAATTGTGCAAGGAATCCCCATATATTCTTCATCCAAATTCTCTAAATGTTAACTACATTTGCTTTACCACTCTCTGCATATACCTGTGTATGTATCTACACACATATGTACATTATTTTTCTTTTCCAAAATGTGTGAAGATAAGTTCTGGACAGATGCTCCTTTACTCCCCAAAACTACAGTATTTCCTAAAACAAGAACATTCTCTTACAAACCACAGTACAATTATCAAAAGCAGAAATTAACTTAGTATCATACTATTATTTATTTTTTTCATACTATTATTTAATGTACAAAACTTATTTATATTTTGTCAAATTTTCCTAATAGCAAATGGGGGAAAAGTAGTATTTGTATGTCTTTGTCTTTTGTGACCTTGAATTTTTGAGGACTATAGGCTATTTTGTAGTCTGATTCTCAATTTTAAAAAACTTTTTATTTTGAAATAATTTAAGCAAAGTTCCCATGTATCCTTCAGCCAATATTCTCTGATGATCACATCTTACATAACTTAGTACATTATCAAACCTAGATTTAGACATTGGTATAATTCTATTTAAGTTACAGGTCCTACTGAGATTTCATTAGTTTTTATGTGCACTCATTCATTTCCTGGTATATAGTACTATGAAATTTTATCACAAGTATAGGTCTGAGTCACTACCACCACAATCAGGATACAGAATTGTTTCATCACCACAAAGAAACTACTTTCCCAATCATAACCCCTGATAATTAATGATCTGTTCACTATCAGTATAATTTTGTCATTTCAAATATTACATAAGATGTCTACAGTATCAATAGTCTGTTCTTTTTAAATTGCTAAGTAGCATTGCATTATATGGATGTACTTCAATTTGCTCATCCATTCACCTGTCAAAGGACACTGGGTTGTTTCTAGTTTGGAGTATTACAAATAAAACTGATATGAATATTCTTGTACAGATTTTTATGGAGACATAGTTTTCATTTCTCATAGACACCTATAAATGTGACTTCTAGGTCATATAGTAAGTATATATTTAACTTTGTAAGAAACTGCCAGATCATTTTCCAGAGTGACTCATTTTACATTCCTATGAGCAATGTATTACAGATGCAATTTCTCTGCATTCTCACCAGTACTTGGTATTTTCCCTCATTTTTATTTAGGCCATTCTGATAGATGTACAGTGACCTCAATTTGTTTTGGCCTAATATATGCTTGTGAGCAGGTTTTAGTTATGCACAAAAGTGAGGTAGTGTATTTCATATGAGGAGGTACATGGTGTCTGGTTTGTTCTATTACTGGTGATATTAATTCTGATCACTTGGTTAAAGGTGGTATCTGTCAGGTTCTCCATAGTACAATCATTGCTTTTCCTCTATAATTAAAAAAAGATATCCTGAGGATTTGAGACCATGTAAACATACTTTTCTGAAATATTTTTCTACTAGTTTTAGGACTCATGGCTGATTATTGCTTGAGTTATTACTATAATGTTCAATAAAGGGTGATCTATATCATTTCTTCTATACACTATCTGAAATTCTATTTTAAGAAAGAATTTTTATCCATTTGTTTATATTAGTATGAATTCATGAGTTATTTTACTCTTTAGTTTACAATCTGTCTCTATCATTATTTAGTTTGATGTTCCAATTGTTCTTATCGTGGACATTGGGAACTCCTTCAAGCAGGCTTCTGTGATCTTTTGACATCTCTGCTTCATTCTTTGAGCAATCCCTTATCAGCAAATCAAGATATTCCAGGTTCATCTTGCATGTCCCTCTGCTCCAACTCTGGAATCAGCCATTACTTCCTAGCTCCTTTTAATGCAAAATGTAGTTGAAAATGAAGATCTGGGCACTAAGTTTTTTAGTAGTTTTTTAACTATTTGTTTTGTTTTGTTTTTTACTAGCTGTAGGTTTTTTCAGGTTTTCCATTTCTTCCAGAATGAGTTTTGAGAAGAGATTATTTTTGTGGAAAATCTGTCCATTTTACTCAATTTTTTGAATTGATATAAAATTATTCACTATATTCTAATATTTTATATCTCAGTTAACCTTTCATTATGATCCTATTTTCATTTTTAACTTTTATAAAAATGTGCTTTACCCTTCTCCTTAACCAATTCTCCAGAAAAGTTTCTTATTAACCTTTCAAAGAAGAAACTTTTAAGGTTTTTATCCTCTCTATTGTACCAATGTATACATTTCACTAGCTTCATTTTTATTACAGTAGAACTCATTATTTGTGGATTACGTATCTACAAATCTGCCTATTCACTAAAATTTATCTGCAACCCAAAATCAGTACTTGTGGTGCTTTTACAGTCATTTGTAAACATGCAAAGAGGGGCAAAATATTAAAACTGTCAGCTGTGCATGTACATAGCTGAAGCTGAACTAGGTGACATAATGCCATTTTCTTTCATCTCTTAAACTGCAAACAAGTGTCCATCTATTTTTGCCATCTATTTAGTGCTGTGGGTTGTTGTTGTTGGTTGTTTTTGTTTTTTGTCCTTTTATGCTTTTTATTGGTGACTTTGCTATTTAGAATGGTTCCCTAGCACAATGATGAACTACCTAGATCATAAGAAGGCTGTATTCTCTGCAGAGAATACATGTGATGAGCTTTGTTTAGGCATGAATTATGTAGTGCTTTTGGCCATGGGTTCAATATTAATGAATCAGCAATACCTGGTAAATAAGGTGCCTTTAAACAGAAACACACAAAATTATGTATTGATTGACAAATGTCATGATCATGGGCTCATAGGATCCTACCCATTATATTTTCTCTAGAAGCAATGGCTCAGTATTCACAGCAACTTTACATAATCTAACCACTGCAGAGAATGAGAACTGACCATGGTTTACTACTTCTACTTTACTTGAGCTTATTCTGTTGTTCTTTTCTAACTTTCTAAGTTGGATAAATAGCTCATTAATTTCCAGTCTTGTTTATTTTCTAACATAAGATAAAACATTTAAGGCAATAATTTTTCTTCTAATATTCTTAGTGGCTCCTATTAAAATTTTAACTTTCAGACCTTCCCCAAAAGTCATCAGTAACTCATTTGCTTATTACTATTAAAAAGCATTCTTTGTTTCAAAGTTTTATTTTGATACCTGTTCTTGTATTTTCTGCTCCAAACAGTTTAATAATCCAACTGCATCTTTAGTACCTAGAGCTGTCAGCTCAGTCTGAAATGCAGCTAGTAAAACACTACGCTCCTTTAAGAAAACTTGCTGAAGAGCAAGCAGAAGTTCACCTCGCCAGTCTGGGAAGGTCTCATGAGACTGGGAACCTTCATAAACCTAGCAGAGTATAAAAAATAAAAGTTAGTTTTCAGGTTAGTATGTTTAAAAAATTCTAAAAATGGTATTTATCTACTAATCAAAATAAAGAGTATAAGCCAAAAGTAAAGTATGGATTTATTTTCAAGTGTGTGGCTTGTGGCATTTAAACGATATACAGTAATGCACATGTAATTACATCATAAAAGATAATAGTTTAATCTGTAGAGTACCTTATTATTAATAAAACCCATACAAAACTAGTAAGATGCACAATATTGAGTACCTCAGCATCTCTTTGCACTTGCATTTTGGTAATTAAATCCTTAAGAGATGAAATTGTACTGAGATAAGCTCTTCTTTCTTCTAGCCAAGATTCTGAAACTTGCTGAACAGAATGGTCTTCTCCATCACTATAGGGAGACTCAGTGAGGGAGAGCACCTGCATGCCTTCATTATGGACAGCTCTTAGTAATCCCTAGAAATGAGAACCCAAAGGCCAGAATTCTGACATCTTCTTCAAAGATAGACATACAAAGAAAAATAAATCTTAAGCAAGGTAGTTCTATCTAGTTAGACTGACTTAGAAGAGACACGGCAGGAAGGATACACCAGGCTACCATTATTGACAACCTTCTTTTTATGGAGGGGTAAGCCAATCCCAGAAGACATTCTATGACTTTGTGTAGCTCTCACCTATAAGTTGCTTTTATTAATCTGATGTGCTCTTCTTGGATTTAAAGACTGGCCACTAATTTCGCCAAAAGAAATATGTAAGAGATAAATTCTAGTCCTTGAGATGGTTTTAATAATTTTGGCACTCAAAAACACCAGGAACAAAAACTATTTCTAAAAATCTTTAGACAGATAATTATTAAATATATTGTACTTTATTATCTGCAAAATACAGCAATAACACTAAACAGATTCCCAAGATTGATTCTTGCTATGTGATTCTTCAGAAAGAATCTTACTATGTAAGTTCTAATAAACTGGTATGTTCAATATGGAAACCACATTGGCTAAGTGTCACTAAAAGACATCTGTCCTTCAGTACCTTTATTTTCTTTGGAAATGAATCTGTTGAACTTTCACCTTCATCTCCTCGGTCTTCTGATGTTGTGTCAAATCCTTGACTTTGTGTGAGATAAATTCCCTGACCCCAGTCTGATCCAGAATCTAAAATAAAGAAAACCACCACTATTAAAAAGAAACAAATATTTTTTAAATAAGTACTACAAAAATGTCAGAAATTTATATAACTTACCACTGGAACATATTTCTCTAGTTTGGTACGCATCAGAATGTGTTAATTCAGGAACTGAGGATCCCTAATTAGAGAAAACAAAAGTATAAGTAACATTTTTTTCCTTAATAAAAATAGGGCTCAATAAATAGTTTTGGTCTTTTATAACGCTGTTAAAAAACAAACGAAAAACTCAATTCAATCTGTCACACATTTTACAATAAATGTCTTCAATTTTTTTCTTAAGAGATATTACCCTAAGAAGACATTCATCAATTAAGGCATAATAATATCATGTTCCAAATTTCCAGAGGAATTCTGTGGAAAGTTCTCATCTGACTATACAATGGGAAGATTTAAAACTGCAATTTTATTATAAGGAAGAGACTAGGGATCCCTGGGTGGTGCAGCGGTTTGGCGCCTGCCTTTGGCCCAGGGCGCGATCCTGGAGACCCGGGATCGAATCCCACGTCAGGCTCCCGGTGCATGGAGCCTGCTTCTCCCTCTGCCTGTGTCTCTGCCTCTCTCTCTCTCTCTCTCTCTGTATGACTATCGTAAAATAAATAAAAAAAAAAAATAAGGAAGAGACTATCATAAATTTCTTTTTCTCTTAAAAACAAAGAATTTGGGCAGCCTGGGTGGCTCAGCAGTTTGGCGCCACCTTCAGCCCACGCCGTGGTCCTGGGGACCTGGGTTCGAGTGCATTGGGCTCCTGCATGGAGCCTGCTTCTCACTCTGCCTGTGTCTCTGCCTCTCTGTGTGTGCATGTGTGTCTCTCATGAATAAATAAATAAAATCTTAAAAAAAAAAAAAAGAATTTTTGGGAAAAACACAAAGAATGTTGAAAAAACACATATTCTGAGAACCAAATACCTCTTTAGATCTCAGACACTGTATCACTGCCTTCAAGGTACCACATTCCTCCGTCAGTAACTGAACAGCAACATAGTGCTCCCTCTTCAAGGTTTCGGTTTCTGAAATATGTCTGGATTCCATATCCAAAATTTCAGCAGCATGTAGTTCTTGCATCTGCTCAATTTTTTCAGTAAACTGACTGATTATTTCAGTGACTTCTTCTGATGAACATTCACTCCGTAAATCAATTTGGATTCCTGCATTTCTAACAAGAACTTGTGGAGTCTGACTGCTGCTATTGACCTTGAGAGTCCCTTCTGTCTGGGATGCCAAACTTGCATCCATGTTAGTAGGAAGCGGCTCTGATACGCAGACTATTCTGTTTTCCTGTACCTTAGTCTTATCTTCTTTTTCTAAGAAGTAGGATAATTTCTCTTTCGCTTCTGTGAGCTGATTTCTAACTTGGCTTAAATCTTTCTGAAGAGATGCCATATTTGTTTCTTTTACCTAAAACATAATGAACAGTAGAACATTCAATTAAAAATATTAAATGTAGAATTTAGGGTAGAGAGTATATTTATGCTAAGACATTCATTTTCCTCAGAACAATAGGAAAAATATTTCAGAAACACTCATAGATTCCACATCTCCAGCATGTGTGTGTATATATATATATACACATATACATATAGTCACAGACTATTATACAAGTGAAATTATTTTATCAGCCTCTTCTTTTGGTTTTCATGGGATAGAGAATTCTGTTTAACATCTGTCTTTCTCCTTGATCATTAATGGACTAGAGACTAAAAGCATCTTTCTAAAAAAAAGATTCAAGGAAAACCAAGCAAGAACATGCTAGTAAAGAAATTCATAAAAACTTTTCATCAAAACTACAAAAGGTTTTTTTCTAGCTTTTAAGTTATGAATTTGGTTTGTCTTTATAGAAGAGAATATACTTTGAAATGAAATTAAGATATGTAAAAATAAGTGAATTTGGAGAAATGTTACTTATCTTACCAAAAGCTCTTCTTGAAGCTTTTCTGCTTTCTCTTTATAATTGGCAAGTTCTTCTTTGATAGCTGATGATTCAGCTTTAAAAGCCTCAAGTTGACAAAAAAATCCACTTTCTTCACTGGTATGAATTAGCTCAGCAGTTGTCTGAATGGCAGTGGAAAACATTTAAGAACACATTATTTTAAAAAAATACAGCCAGGTTCAAGGTACTTATACATTCTAAAGAAGCTTTTGCAGGAATGACTACCTCTCAGATAAGAAGGTATGGAAAGGATTCATGTTCTTTCAACAAAGAGGAAAACTATTTTTTAGGTACCATCAGTTTATGTTTTTGAGACAGTAAGAAAAAAATTATTTTCTGGGAACGAAACATACATCATGTATATATATTCTAAATATTTATAAGATTAATGAAAATGTAGTTACCATTCAGAACACTTTCATATTTATACCACTTTCCTCTAATAATACCAAGTCTTACTAAGATATTTCTTACAAGTTTTAAAAACATGGAAAGTCATGTTAATATTTTATTTTAATAGGACTATAGGAATTTATAGTTCCACAGACCTAAGAGAAAAAAGCCCAGTAAAAGGAAAGAATTATCATTCTTTGTAGAACAAATTATATATTTAGAGAATTTTGATATGTCAGTTAATCACCTATTCAGATAAGACTGCACATTTACTACTCAAAATTATAAATACATAAAGTGAGAATTTGAAAATTAAAGTCCTTCTATTTCTGTCTTGTGCTAAGAAATAAATGCCATTTCAGATCTTTACAAAAGTAGACTTACAAAGGAGAAATACAAATTACTTCTAAGAAAGGGAAGAACCTATTATCAGGCATAAAATCTATAAAAGCTAATGACTTATCATTGATATGTCACTTCAGAAGAATGCTAATATATTTTGATATTTTCCATTACTTAAAAGGAATGATCAAATAGCATACATCTTAGATGGAACAGGAAAAAAACCCACATAAGTTTCAAAGGACATTTGCTACACTTAACATCTCTTTCTTCTGACTGCTCTAATAAGTATGCTAGTGAAATAAATAACATGATTTGAAGCCCACAAAATAGAGTTTGTATTCATTACTTTAGTGATAATATGGACTGCACAGAAAAGTAATATTTTTATAAAAAGCCCCTATATATGAATTGCTAGATGTAAAGAATACATATTTAATTTAATAAATTAGCAATCAGCTTAAGGAACAAAGAAAAAAGAGAATTCTTTATGGAATTTAAGTGACAAAAATAAAAAACAACCTAACCTTGAGAATTTCAAAATCTCCTTCAGGGCTTCTTTTCCTTTCTTTATTTCCCTGTTTTTTCTCCTCCTCCAATAGTCTCTGTAGTTCTAGTAGCTTCTTTTCTTTTTCCAAAGCATTTTTCTCCACAATTTCTATCTGTTCTTTTTCTAAAATCAAACTAGTCTGCATTTCAACCACCTGGCTTTCTAATTCTGATATTCTCAAGGTTAATGCTAATACGTTTGACTCCATCTCATTGTCTGTTACTTGATTTAAATTCTGTACATTTGTTCTTTCAAGTTCTGATGAAACTGCTTGTTCATCTTGACAGAATTTTGCATATTCCTTAACTGCTTCAAGTTGGACTTGACTCACAAGAGCAGCAGCAACTTTTTCTTCAAGTATATTCTGTAGGTTTACAATCTTCTTTTTAAGCATTTCTGTTTCAGATTGGCCTTGCTCTTGCATATCCTTTATTTGCTTGTAGCACTGAGTGAGTTCTATGTCCTTTGCACTCACAGTGCCCTCAAGTTGTAGCACCTTTGTTTCCAAACTACTTATGGAACCTTTGCTGTTTTCTTCAAAAGATGTGAAGTAAGTCTGATTTTCTAGGGGTTTAAGAGCATTCTCAGCAAGGACTACTTCCAGTTCAGGGTGGATTTTGCTCAGATCATCCATAGCCATGTTAACGCTTTTCTCCGGTACACTTCGGATTTTTTCCATATTTTCACGTTCTCTCTTTAAGCTGCATAATTCTTGTGTTAGCTGGTTCATTTTTAAATTGGTTTCTTCAAGTACATTTTTTGTAAAGGCTATTTCTTCATTAGTGGTTTCTACTTGCTGTTCCAAAGCCAGTTTTTCAGCTATTACCATATCCAATTGATGTTTTAAACTATCTGCTTCTTCTGGGAAAGAATTAGCATCCACTGACGTCTTCTGTTCAATATTTGCCAGTTCCTGTTGAAGTTTTTCAATTACTTCATTGAGCTGCTCAATTTCTTCTTCTCTATTTTTCTTAACACGTTCTTGATCACTCATTAAACATTCTATCTGGGTTTCAAGATCCCTTATCAGTTCATTTTTTTCTTCCATAACCTGTTAAAGAAAACAAAGTAACAGACATAAATATGTACTTATATTTTGGGAATTTTATTTTTTATTTTAAGGGCAGGATCTGAAAGTGCTGATCTTATACACACAAATAATATACCTCTCAGACATGTGAGACTAATTTCAATATAGACCAATAGTCACCATCATATCAAACAAGGACCTTTTGTCAAGCTTTGTTCAGAAAATTCTGTTAAATAGAAAGTGATTTACACATTAGTAGCTGATTTCCTAGAAATAAAATAGTCAATAAACCCTAACTGAAAAGAATGAAGTATTAAAATAAAAAAGGGCTACAGCAGATGGTGCTATTATCTGATTTAATTCATACTGAATAGAATGATTTTTAGTAGATTTGGTTAGAATGATATGATGAAATCTGAGTCGCCAGGGACTCTCTCTGGAAAACAAAAATCTGTGACATAATATTAGGAGAGGACAAAAAATAACACATAGCTTATTAAGCCAATGTGCCTTAATAAATTCAAATTAATGGGTAAAAGAGAATTAAGGTTTATTCAGTTTTATATTCAAAGAGAAGCTGAAAAATAACCATTTGGCCTTTAAAATTCTAGCTCTATTTCATGGAGTAATTTTAAACTAGTGTACCTTATTATCTGTTGTAATTTTAAGTTGATACTGAAGTTTTGCAATTTGCTCATTTAATCGGTCAATTTCTATTTCTTTTTCCTGCATTATTTGAGCAAATTTTCCAAATAACACATGTTGGTCCTGAGTAGGGATAACATCCGATTCCTTTATGGCATACCCCAGTTTCTCCATTTCATCCTAGGGATAAAAATAACCAACCAGTTGGACAGATTATTATATGTAATTTTCTGAATATTCTTTCAATTAAGTGTTACAAAAGATAAAATGCCCAAAATGTATACAAAATTGGATTATCATACAGCCATTTAAGTCAATAATTCTTAAAATATTTTGATAAAAGTTCTAAAAAATTCTTCATTCATGATGAATTCAAATGTTTATGTTGGGTTGAAAATAAATTCCATGCAAACCCATTTGCAGTTAATGTTCCTCTGTTAAGTATTATTTAGTAGCTGGATTCAGCAAATACTTGATACAAAGACAAGACAAAAATTATGAATTATTTACAGGCAAAGTTTTTCTTAATTAATTACCTTAAATAATTTGTTTTCTTGTTCCAGTTCTTGGAGGCGGGTAGTAGATTCCTTTTTCTGTATTTCTAATTGCATATGTAGTTGCTGAACTTCTTCATTCTTATTTTCCAGTTCCTCTCTAAACTGCTCTAACTGTTCTTCTAAGTTTGTAATCTGATACCAAAATTATCATAAAGAAAGAAAAAAAATACCTGTTTATACAATGTCTGTCAAGAGAGAATGAAAAGTACTATAAGTAGCTGTATAAAATGTATCTGCTTAAAACATATAAGCCATGAGAATAAAGGGGTTTCTCTAAGCCAGGTATAACCGTGTGGTTTCTAGGTATTTTCAAACTGATCACCTTTAAGTCATCCTACTCAAAGCAAAGGGAAGATCTTCAGAGGAAGGATACAAGGAGCCATTTCTTACCTAAAATATTCTGATAAAGCAGAAAAAAGTCAGGGGAGGAAGGGAAAGAGTCCACATTTGAAATTTTATTTCATGTTAAATTTAGTTGCTACCAAAAGGTCCAAGAAAGCTGCAGAATTAAGTCAATTGGTCAGCTACCAAGTGAGACTAGCTCAAATTAGTCCATACTAATGCTTAATGAAAGGTTTGGGTGCATCTGTCTTGTTTAAGCAGAAGAAAGCAGAGGTATACACGAAGACCATGAGATCCTTAGGTGTGCAATACAGAAACTTAATAGTAAGCTATTAATACTATTTTAGGAGAAAATTAAGAGAGCTCCTATGTGTAGGACAATAGAAATTTAGCTCTTTTCTAAGCATAGATTACTGTTAATGATAAGCAATTACTCTGTAATGGTTATACAGAGACTATTATATAAGGACAAGTTTCAAGACCTAGTTATTATATTTTAAAAGTTGAGTTTGATTAAGGAATAGTAATTTAGCTCAATGCTTTGTAGCTGCTTAATAAATACTTAATGAATTTCTAAATATGTATTTATCTGATGATCAAAATCGCTGCATTAAAAGCAACCTAAAATGCAGGAACAACATTACTCAGTGGCAGCTGGCTGAGAGAGCAGCCTACAAATCATTTATTGCCTTAGAACTTGAAAAGAACCATATTCTGCTTACACTTAGACATGTAATCAGAATCCTATCTTAGCACTAGCAATGCAAAGCCCTTCAAAATCATTTAGCCTAATATTTCCTTAAGAGAAATAGTACTGATACTAGTAATAAAAGCCTCACTTATAGATAATTTATTACTAGATACTGTATAAGGTGCTTTTCATGTATTATTTTTTTAAAACTCTCTAACAACCTTATGAGATCTTTAGTTGGATTATCCCCATTTCAGAGATGAGGAGGGAGTCACTAAGAACAAAGTACCTTGTCTGAGGTCACAAGGCTAGTATTGGTGAGATTTTACCTGTGGAGACTTACATATTTATTATTTATTTGAGAGAGAGTGAGTGAGTGATTGGTGGGGAAGGGCAGAGAAGAGAGAAAATCTCCAGCAGTATCCCACTAAGCAAGGAGCTTGACATAGGGCTTGATCCTGTGACCTTGAGATTATGACCTGAGCCTAAACCAAGAGTCAGACATTTAACCGACTGAGCCACCCAGGCACCCCTAGAGCCTTACATTCTTAACTATCATTTATCCTGCTTCTAATAACTAATGTCCAAGACTTATACTTAAATTGTTTTCTGTACACTGGTATTCAACTCAATAAACACACCTTAAATACATTTAGTAGTTGTTCATATATAATTAACAGGTTGGTCTGCTGAAAACTGTGGTGATTATTATCTTCTTCAAAGTTATCTAATACGGTAGTATTTATACCTATACCTATCTTCCACAACTACTTTTGATAAAAAGGCATTATTTTAATATGTATGTAGACATTTAAGTTCAAAATTGATGTTCTACCTCAAATGCTATTTGTTTTGGGGGGTATCTATTAATCTTCTTCATCTATTTCACCCTCCCCTCTGAAAAACTACAAGTTTGTTCCATGTATTTAAGAGTCTGTTTTTTCATTTGTTCATTTGTTTTGTTTTACTTCCTTGATACATGAATTTATGGTCCAATTCTAAATTTGAAATAAAGTCTTGCTATTCAAAGTGTGATACCTAGAGCAGCAGAATTGGTACCATCCAAGAACATGTTAATGCACAGATTGTGAAGCCCCACCCCAGACCTACTGAATCCAAATCTTTTTTAACAAGATCCCCAGGGGATTCATATGCACATTAAAGTTTGAGAAGCACTAGTCTAAAGCACTAACATTCTGTTTTAAGCAGCTGAACTTGAGTCATCACAACAGAGACTTCAATTCCCAAAGATGACACTGTAGGATTCTTTCCTCCTATTCAGCCAGACTCTAGTTTCAGTCCCAGGCTATCCTATTACTGAGTCTACAACAACCAAAACCACAAGAATATTATTAGGGTTTTAAAAGAGAATGGTGGCTCTTTGTTTTAATCTTGTTTAATTTAGCTACCGAATGTTATCTAGACTGGATTATATTAATTTGCAACTATTTGTGTTTTCTTTTAAAGTCTTTTTTATCTCTTTCAAATGTATATATGTCTTCTTAGTCAAACATTAGATTCTTTGAAATCTGCTGCTGTTTTTACAACTGGATGGTGGTAGTCAACATGAGTTAAGATCTCAATAAGTATTGAATGACAGTCTTTAATACTTCTCACCAATAAGGCAAAACATTCCCCAATTTTTTGGTAGTATAGCATTACTGGACTTCAGAATCAGAGAAATTCAGGAGTAATTATTGCTTAACCACTTACTGCGTGGCCACGAAACAAGTTATTTACCCTTTTAAGAGTTTACTCATCTGTAAAATGAAGGTAACACTAGAGCCTCTTCTCAGGATTAATGACATAAGGATTAATGACATAATGCTTTTAAGACACTACTTTCTAGCACAGATCGCTATGAAGTCCCAACTACTACTATTTATTACTGCCATCTATAAGCTAGATCTCATTAGCTCTACAGAGTTAAAACCTATGAAGGCATCTTTTTCTTTTTTTAAGATTTTATTTATTTATTCATGAGACAGAGAGAGAGAGAGAGAGAGAGAGAGAGAGAGGCAGAGACACAGGCAGAGGGAGAAGCAGGCTCCTCGCAGGGAGCCCCACGTGGGACTCAATCCCAGGTCTCCAGGATCAGGCCCTGGGCTGAAGGCGGGGCCAAACCGCTGAGCCACCAGGGCTGCCCAAGGCATCTTTTTCTTAAAAAAATTCTTCCTACTCTTTTTCTCCACATTATTCACCTTATCATCCTAAAACTCCTATCTTCAAAGTTTCTTCTCTATTTGTTCTGCATAAACCTCAAAAAGAGTTTTACACAAATTAAGGCTATGAGAGTAGTAGAAAGTAATCTCAAAATCTAATGACACATATGGACATATTAGTTTATACTCTGTCAGGTATGAAAACATCTGCCCAGTGCAGGAGAGAATGCTTAAGAAGTTGTTTTCATTGACAGATACATATTTTAATTCTATGTTCCTCTCTTTCAGTCTTTAGTTACAGATGAGTGGGTTCTGACAGAGTACCTGTCCCTGTTATTAAACACTAGGTAGGCCAGGATGAGCTATCATTTTAACCCTTTACTCAACATGTCTGGCTCTATCTTATCTATAAACTCTGGGAGTTGGTGGACAGAAGCTGGCTGACCGGTCTCTTTGTAGTTCTGAACAACTATGATTCTGAGTAAAAGGTAGACAGCTATTGGATACTTCCTTTGAGAAATTAAAGTGTCAGTAATGTCCTATAAACTTCAGAAGATAATTAAAATATAAAGTCAGTAAACTTAATCAACTACCCATAATTAACTATCGTCATTGTTTTGGGGTCCAGTTTTGACTGTCTCTCTTTTTAGAGAGCAATTTCTTTACCAGTGTAAGGTACTTTAAATGTTAATGCTTTTCAAAACAGAAGTGGTTACAGATAAACAAGTGCTCTCTCTCTGTTGTGGAAAAACCAAAAAAGCAAAATAATCAAGAATCTTTTAGGATAAACATTAGTCATTATAATAGGATAGCAAGAAAATAATCTTTCTCATGGAGATGATCATTTCTATTCATCATTTATGTAGATGGTTTTTTTCTCCCTCTAAACCACAAGTGTTCTGAGCTGGATTTTAGATTATGTCTAAACCATTCTGATATTTTCCAAAGCACTTATTAACATTTATTTACTGTTTAAGTTCAATAAATATTTGTTAAAATGTATTAAGTATACAGAGAAAATTATATGGAAATAAACGTGTAATATAAAAAAACCTTAAGTATTTTTAATGATAAAGCTAAGATAATGCAGAGTATAATATGTCTTAGATACTATATTAAAAGCGGATTTTCTTTCTTTCTTTTTTTTTTTTTGAGAAGGGAGGGAGTAGAAAAACATGGGACAATTTATATAATTACCTTATTGTTAATCTTTTTTTCTTCCCCTTATTGTTAATCTTGTAACAACATGTTTAGTATATTGTAAAATAGCACTATACAACTATTCCCAGGGCAAGAAACTTTAAAAAAAATTATTATCTATTATTTATTTTATTTTTAAATGTATTATTATTTAAAATTTCTTAAGTAAAAAAAAAAAAAAGAACTATTGCAAAGTATCAATACTTCAAAGCCCATCGTAAAACAGGAAAAAGAGATAACGCTTTTTGTTCTAACACAACTCTCTCTCCACTGTCCTCTTCACTCAATTTGTATTTACCTTTTCTTTGTTTTTATTTAATTAATTTATTTTAAAAAAGATTTTACTCATTTATTTGAGAAAGAGAGCACAAGCACAAGCAGGGAGTGCAGCAGTGGGAAAGGGTGAACCAAAGTCTTCACTGAGCAGAGAGCCCAATGTGGGGCTCGATCCCAGGACCCTATGATCATGATCTGAGCCCAAAGCAGACACTCAACTGACTGAGCCACTCAGGCGCCCCTTCTTTTTGTCTTTAAAACTTCATCGTGTGTCAGGGTTTCATATTTGACCCCTCTGCCTGGAACACTCTTCCTCATACCAGCTTATTTGTTCAAATCTTTATTGTCTTCAAGTTAAAATCATATAAACTTTGGTTTTAGACTCTAAACTCTATTCTGTACAAATGATATTCTCAAGCTGACTTATTTAAATTGTTTAAAATATTTCAAACCAGGGGATCCCTGGATGGCTCAGCGGTTTAGCGCCTGCCTTCGGCCTGGGGCGTGATCCTGGGGTCCCGGGGTGGAGTTCCGCATCAGGCTCCTTGCGTGGAGCCTGTTTCTCCTTCTGCCTGTGTCTCTGCCTCTCTCTCTGTGTCTCTCATGAATAGATAAATAAAATCTTAAAAAAAAAAAAATTCAAACTACATTTTGTCATTAGAAATAAACTCCTTACCTCTTTTTCCTTTCGGTCTATGGCATCACGCTCAGCCTGCAACTGTACTTCTAGGGACAATTCTGCTTTAGCTTCTACAGCTCCACACTGTTTTTGGTCCTCTACCTTTAAATATAAGAATGTTTTCAAAACTTCAGGCATTAAATCCTGATTATCCACTTTAATTAGAGACACAGAAATTTCATTTCTCCAATTAGCAGCTGATATTCTATATGAGTGAATAATCAAATTTATAGATACTCACTTTTGAGTGCATTTTTATACAAATTCAAACAGGAATGAAATACATTCCTCAGATAAAACAGAGACTATCCCTCGAACTGTTCCCTTCCTAATCTTCCATTCCTGCTCTTCCTTGATTCATCCTTGCTTTCTACATTATAATGGGAATAGACTTCATTCCTTTTTAGTCTGGGATAGAGCATCAAGCCTCAGCTGGTGTCCACTGCTTTTTCACGTGGCTATTATTCCACAGTCACAACCACTGTTAAAAGGATAATTAATTCTTCTGGTTTAAACTAATCTTCCTTTCTCAGGAAAGGACTAAAGTCTTGTTAAAAGGATAACTGTTAAAAGGATACTCATTGTTAAAAAGAATAATTAATTCTTCTGGTTTAACTAATCTTCCTTTCTCAGGAAAGGACTAAGGTCTTAGTCTCAGGATTAAGGTAGCAAATAACATCTGGAGATAAGAATAAACAGATATAGTTACAATGTCACTGAAGACATAAAGGTCTCTTTATGTTTTGTAATAATAACAACAAAAAGTCAGTAACAATTTTTTATTTAAAGGAACTGATGTTTTTATGTGACTAAGAGTAATCTGCATTAAAACATTTAATAAAATTAACATAAAGAAAATGCCACACCTTTTGAAAAGTGTCTGCACTAACGAGCAAGGCTTGCTCCAGTTCCCTTACTCTGAACTCCAATTTCTCGATTTCTTCATTCCGTTCTTGTATATCCCTCTGAAGCTGCTCTTTAGAGAGCAAAAGCTCACTGCACTTGTCTGTTTTTTCTTTCAGATGATTTGTTAACTGTTCAACCTGGAAATATAATAAGCAAAAATTGTAATTAAAAAAATTTCAACAAGCTAATTATCTATCCTCATTTCAAAAAGTATTTTCAGATCTTATGCTAATTTTATTTTTGACAAGGATAGCAATCATTGTCTCCAACTATAAAGAAGTTTTCTAAGCTGACAAAACAAAGTGGTACTAACAAAACAAAAATAATACTGTTCTCATCAACTCTTTACAAAAAGTTGTTTCTCTTAAGACAAAGACTTTCTCCAGCTATGAGGACAAATAATTACATTTTTTTGAGATACTTACATTTTTGAATAATGTTGAAGTAAAAGCTGTATTGGTTACAACCACACTAAAATCTAATAGAAGTGACAAATTTGCAAACTATTGACTTACACTCTTATGTGAGATAAAATAACCTTAAAAAAATCTTACATGGAATCTACTTTTCTTTCCACAAATGGTTAAAATTGATATACAAATACTGAGGGGTCCTAAACACCACAGAAATAGGAAGGTTTAATATGGTCACTCAGAAAGCTTTTTCGGCCTACGTATTCCTGCAGCACAGAATAGAGATGGGAATGTGGAATGATGACAGGAATCTGAACGCTTGGGTAAGTAATTCTGGTAAGTAGGGTCCATTCAAGATAATGACTCTGTGACGGAAGGATTCAGGAAGCATTAATAAGATAGTTTATGAAATTCATTCTCATCAAGAAAGTAGAGAAAATTTACTAAAAAAAAGAAGTGTGATGGTAAGAAAAAAAGGAATTCTAGCTTATTTCAGTGAGATATTTTAAGGAAATTATCTAAAATGATACCCTCAAAACATTAAAACAAACGCAAACTTATTTATAATTACATGTTCAAGGATGACAGTAACAAAGTCACTGAGAAATTTTTGACAATAATAGGTAGATTAAGATTTGAAGTACAGGGATCCCTGGGTGGCGCAGCGGTTTGGTGCCTGCCTTTGGCCCAGGGCGCGATCCTGGAGACCCGGGATCGAATCCCACGTCAGGCTCCCGGTGCATGGAGCCTGCTTCTCCCTCTGCCTGTGTCTCTGCCTCTCTCGCTCTCTCTGTATGACTATCGTAAAAAAAAAAAAAAAAAAAAAAAAAAAAAAAAGATTTGAAGTATAGTCAAGGAAAAAAGATAACAAAGCAGCAAAATAGTACAATATACTGTTATAGTTAGATTGTTTTGATCTTGAGAAAATCAGAATCTGGGAAATCAGATTTGGTAAGGTAAAGACAAAACAAATGGATCACAACGTTCCAGGAAAAAATCTAATATACATATCCCTGTTAGTTCAAGCTTTCCTGAATGAGGTAGGTCACAGTTTTCAAATATATGAAAATGAGTAATAGGAAATGACAAGAAGTTTAGACCTTATTTTTTTTTTTGAAATGTTTAGACCTTAAATATTCTTTTGAGTTTCAACAAATCTAGCTATTTTTCAAAAGCTGAAAATATACTAGGAATAAGACCAGTAACTACAAACTCTGTGGGGACTGATAACTTTCCTACTGCTCTAGTAGATAAGGCTATTTTATATCAGATTACTTCAATGAGAATGTAGAAAACACTTTACTATAATGAGTTTATAGACATTCTATGCTTCTTTGAAATTCTTTAAAGAGAAATGAAATCCAATAATTTGTATAGAAATTAAATACAATTAAGATTTTAAAAAAATTATTTCTGAAAACAATTTTATGTCTTCACTATGTAGCAGGCCAATACTCCTATGAGATGGGTTCCATTACAATTTCTATTTTAGAAGTGAGTAAACAAGTTTTAGAAAGTTTTAAAAAGTGACTTAGCCATTGTCATACACCTGGTAAATGGCAGAGCCGTGATTCAAACTTAATGCCAAGCAGAATTTCTTCATAACCATTACAAGCCATCGTTAGCAATTTATGCAATAAGTCTTCTCTCATTCATGCAGTATTCATTTGGTAAATTTGGGGTTCTATGTTTCTATATGAGGAAATAGACAATTGGGATGAAAAAGTAGAAGCAGGAAGAGTGGTAAGGAGGCTACCAAAATCATCCAGGCAAACAGTGCCAGCTAGGATTTAAGGAGATGAATGAAAATGCAAAGAACAGGAAGATATAAGATGTAGTGCAACCTGATTCACTGATGGGGTGGAAGTGGGAATTGGGAAAAAGAGAGGAATCAAGGATGAATACTACACCTTAGCAATGAGGAAGGTGAAGATGGTATAATATTTACTAAAATGAAGAAGGAACATGTTTTATTCTTGTCTTTCTCTGGTGGGGACTAGTTAGGAATCAAGAACTCTCTTTTGAGCATGTTCACTTTGAGACATCTAAGTCGAGATATATAGTGAGCATCTGAGTATTCGAGCCTGGAGTTCAAAAGAGATGTCAGGGCTGGAGATATTAATGCACTGTCCTTTACATGTAACTACCTGAAAGAGAATATTAATAGGAAAGAAGAAGGGGGCTCAAGACTAAGTCTTGGGGTACTCCACCATTTATTTTGGGGTGAGAAACAAAGATCAGAAAAAGAAACCAATGAAGTAGTTATGTCACAGAAGCCAAGAGAAGGAAGTGTTTAAAGAAGAAGGCTTTAACGAAAGCATCTGAATGGCTGTGTAGGATGAAGACAGAGAGATGATTATTGGACAAAGCCATCAGGCTGGTAACCTTTACAAGAATCATTTCAATGAAACAGAGGATATAAAATCCCCTTTAGATAGAGGGGTTGGAACTTTACTGTAGGGGACTGAGAAAAGAATGCAAGATGGGGAAGTAAAAAGTAAATACAGATAATTCTTTTGATTAGTTTTTTGGGAATGGGAATAGAGAAATAAAGTTTATTTAATTGGGCAATACTAGAAGATAAATTTCAATGTAAACAATTTTCAGAATTTCAAGAACCTTTTATACTTAATTTTCTGATTTTGAAGATTTACATATAATAAGAATAATTTCCTTTAAGTTTTTCACAATACACATCTTATTTATACTCGATATACAAATTACTGTAAGGCGGACAACACCAGTAAAGTTCTTACCTCTCTAGTTTGATGTTCATTGATAGGCTGGAATCGAGGTACAACCTTAAGTTGCTGTTCTAATTTCTGTATTTCCTGTTGGAATACATCTCTCTCATGTTCTCTATCAATGGCTTGCTCCTAAAGTTTAAACAACAGTAACAGAAGAAACAACATCTATTGAAGTTTTTATTTCTGCTACTTCCCTTTAGTTATACATACAGTTTTGTTTGAAGACAAAAAAACTGATACCCACAGAATACCCTAAACCAAAAGGTTTACAAAGATAACATCTTTATATGGTACATAGCCTATCTGGATTCTTTAACAAAAATTTATGCATTTAAATATTATTTGAAGCACAACATTTCTAAAAACTCAAGTAATGTTCAATATAGAATGAAATAAAAATATTCACCCACAAGTGAGTTTACTTTTTTGGAACAAAAGAGGAATTCCAGTGTTAATTTAGTCATTAAAAAAAAAAAAAAAAAAAAAAAAGAGGGCAGCCCCAGTGGCTCAGTGGGTTGGTGCCACCTTCAGCCCAAGGGGGGGATCCTGGAGACCCGGGATCGAGTTCCATGTCGGGCTGGGCTCCCTGCGTGGAGCCTGCTTCTCCCTCTGCCTGTGTCTCTGCCAACCTCTCTCTATGTCTCTAATGAATAAAATCTTTAAAAAAAAATAGGAGAACAAATTGGTTAGTAAATCAATTTCTTTCATCCTAATCTAGGTTTCATATCAAAATTATAAAATGTGTCAGAATCTGATTCTTTAATATATTAAGAATATATCAGGCCTTAAATGAAAGCCCAAAGAGGAAAACCCATGTGAAAGTAGAGATTTAATAACATCTTGCAAGAGACTAATGACAGCATAACAACTGTTCCAGTCCCCCAGTCATTTCCAAAAGCATAGTTACTGTGTGTATTCTGTGCGTGAAAGAGTGTTGGCCAGTTAGGATCCTTGCCTGCACTGGCAGTTGATTAAAGGAACACTTGGACTAACTTCTTAACTCTGAATTTGGAAAGGCTAACTGTTAAGGGTTTATTCATAATCTGCTTGTACCGCTTTTAGCTGTGATAGGTGTACAATAAAAACAATTAGAATTTTTATTTAGAATACTTTTCAGTTAATTGGCAGAAAACACATATAGAGGAAAATGTTAGAATTTAAAGGCCTCTTCATAACTCAAAATTCACAACCTAGAGTAGCAGCAAGTAGGCATTCCACTGAGAAAATCAATATTCAAGTTGAGAATACTTACATCTAAAAATTTTCTCATTTTTTCTAATTGCTTTTCCAGTGCCTGGTTTTGCTGTCGTAAATCCATTAGCTCAGCATTTTTTTCTTGTTCCAGCTCTATAAACCTACTGACTTGTTCCTCAACATCTATCTCTAGAGCTTTCACTTGTTTTTGAAGGTCATCGCGTACTTTTTCAGCTTGGCACTGTACTTCTAGTTTTTCCTTCATTAGTTTTTCTGTCTCCTGCAGTAATTCTGTTTACAAATATAAAAATATTCTAAGTTAAATCACAATTAAGATAGTGAAATCACCCATAACTATGCTCAAATTTTATCTTCATGATATAAGAAATTTGAGATTTCAAACTCATGGAAAAAAGGAAAATGTTCCTGTGAAAATATCAAAATAACATAAGCAAGCTAGTATCAAAAAATTATGTTGTATTAACAAAAAGAATCATCCTGTCACTAAAAACAATACTTTGAAAATGCTAAAGCAAATGACCAAAAAAACCAAAAAATCCACTTTCACTATAAGGAAAAGAATAAAGTCTAATTAAATTTTTTAAGCACAGAAATAACTCACCTCAGGCAAAAATCAATTAATTCCAAACCAATAAAGTCACTTTTAAATGCATACACAATACACACGAAGATCAAATACTGTAAATTTTTAACCAAGGCAAGAGTTACAGGAAGAAAATACAACTACAATCAGAATTTCCTGTTAGTCTTTCTCCTTATTAGATCCATATTCCTGAGTTAGTCTTACATGCTCATACAATGTTTATCAAGAAAAAACTGACAAATATGAGAGGCAGTATGGTGTAGTGCTTCAGAGCAGAGACTGTGAATTCAAATCCTAGCTCTGCCACTTATCTTCTATGTGATATTTAACATGATGTCCTCCAATTTCCTTATACATAAACTGGGGGGAGTAATAGTACTGATCTATAAGAGTTATTGTGGATCAAGCGAGTTAATATATCTAAAGAATAGTGCCTAGAATATGGTAAGCACTATATAAGTGTTAGCTATTAATATTAATAATATAAAAAGTATAAATAGCAAAGTAAAACAATTCTCTAATGAAAAAATAAAGGAACATGACCAGAGAGTCTTTACACTAACCAGTCTGCCGACACCGTACTCAGGACTAGGAATCCATAGAAAATAGCTTTCCTTTTAAAACAGTACTGATTTAGAAGTTAATACAAGAGGAAATGAACCAGAAAGTCTCTTTACTTCACTAAATTTCATTGATCCTATTGTTACCATCATCTTATATTTCCTGATTTAGAAAGAGCATTTTGAAGTTATAGGCTGCAAGAGTTTAAGTAAAAAATTCAAATGGTCGTAAGCTTTGTGGAAAAACAGATATAAGATGATGATCACTAAATCTCAGCTGTTAATTTCAAATATAAATTGTTTTTGTATTTTATTGTAAGTAAAGTTTTTTGTTAAAGAGAAAAACCGTAAGTATGAAACACAACAGCAAAATTAGAGGTACGTTAGTTGGAAAAGTAGAGTATGTGATTGAAAATCCATGGGTCACCCAAATTTTGGAGTTGTAAGTTTACCACCCAAAGACTGGCCATGCAACTGTATAAACACACCTGCTCCAGGTGCTGCATCGACTGCAGCATTTACTAGTCCTATAAGAATAGAAAGAAAACACACACACAGAACAAAAATATAATTTACATGTCTATTTCCTAAAATAGGATAATACATATGTACAAATAAAAATGTCTGTAAACAGATCTTGTATGGTTTGCTGGGTCAAACAATGTTCTCAACCTAAAATCTATCTCATTTCCACTTTACTTCTAGTCATATTTATTAAGTGCTGCAGTTTGTACTTTTTTATTTTGTAACATTTTGTTATTTTTTTGTACAATACTGTATTTGTACAATAGAGCGATTCTCAGCCAGTGGAATGAACAAAATGCATAATTTTACTTTTAAAAAAATAATAAAATGGGATAATAGGGATAATACATACACACAAAAGAAGAAGTAAAGCTGAAATCATTGGTAATATTTTCACTTGATCTTAGCCAAAAGGCCGAGAAGTGATTCCATTGGTAATATTTTGATGTCCCACTATTTCTTGAATATTTTACATGTATGATATATATACTTTGCACATTAAAAAGTCCAAATCTAAACCTGTGTTAAACAAATCTGAACACCAGAAACAACTGCACCATATTACAAAAATGTATGCTGTATTTCTAAATTGGTAAAGTTCAACTGATGAAACTATACATTTATAATTCTAACTGCATGTGTAATATAAAAGTGAGAATATATGAAAAATAATTTAAAGGTCCACTGTTGGGATCCCTGGGTGGCGCAGCGGTTTGGTGCCTGCCTTTGGCCCAGGGCGCGATCCTGGAGACCCGAGATCGAATCCCACGTCGGGCTCCCAGTGCTTGGAGCCTGCTTCTCCCTCTGCCTGTGTCTCTGCCTCTCTCTCTCTGTGTGACTATCATAAATAAATAAAAATTTAAAAAAAAATAAATAAAGGTCCACTGTTATAATGACTGGCTTTTTATTGCCAAAAAACTAAGATATCGTGCTTACTTTCTCATTTAAGAAAAAGATTAAAGGTTATTTATAAATTGTATCTTCTTTGAACTCCTACACAGATTAAACCAGATGTCAGCCTGCTTCTAAGAGTCACTGACCTTTTCAATCTATTCTCTACAGGCTGAAATCTCCCCCGACCTGCTTGCTACTAGTATTGGGTCAGTTTTGTTAGTTATTCAATTTATGTAAACATTTTTACTGCCTTTCTGCTATTAGAAGAACAATCTTACAGTTTAAAAAAGACCCTCCTCATTATATGCAGCTTTCTCTTAAGGCAGAAGTTTGAGATATTTCCTGTTAAAATCTGCGAAAGCAAAAAAGAAAAATAAACCAAACACACCAACCCTGACTCCACATGGTCGGCTACCAAAACATTTAGCAAAGCAGGAGATGGTTTTGTAATTTTTCAGTCCCTATATACAATACATGAATAAAGGCAATGAAATGGAAAAGAACCATCTTGAACTGTTAAAATGTTTCCTATACAAAGTCTAAAAATACATACGTTGTTCAACTGGGCCTGCCTCTGCTTTCATAGCCTCCTTCTGTCGGGACAGTAATTCTCTTTCTTCTTGGATCTGCTGTTGCTCTGCTTCCAATTCCTGTAGTCTATTACCTGCACATAACAATTCCTGCTCCAGACGATCTATTATGTCAGTTTTTTCCTGAATTTGCCTTTCAAAAAGAGTTTTTTCGTCTGCATAACCATCAATGACACCTATAAGATAAAATTAATAGGGAATAGGATTATAACTCATTTCAAATCTTACCTTGGTGTTCTATAAATAAGAAAAGGTGTACTGTTAGCAAAACTTCATTCTAACATATTAAATATTTTGAATGAATCTGCTGATGATAGTAGCAATTATGGTACATTCAATGCAACCTTTTTCTTAACCTTTGTGCCTAAATATGAAGTTCCTTTGAACTTTGTTACTTTGCTGTGCTAATGTATCACATCATGTAGGTGTAACTCACTTTGTTACACAAATATAAATAGGTTCCTGGAAAGCTTAATAAAAATCAGATGTTTGTGAACCAAATCACATTTTAAATATATCAGAGAAAGCTGGTATTTTAAGTGACACTAGAAGGCCAACACCCACAACAGTATGGAGAATATAAACAGTGTTTGCTAACAGTATGGAGGCATAAAGCCTGGCATCACCACTTAATGGTGACTCTGAACAATTTATTAACATCTTGTAGCTTCAGCCTTTTCATTGCTAACTTAGGAGACTTGATGTAGAGTGGTGGGATCATGGTACTAAATCACCATCATCTATTTCTATATTTTTCTAAAAATTTTAATGGTTTCTGTAATTCTATTAAATTCTTTCCAATAATTAAAAATATACACAGTTTTTAAAATTGCCTAGAGAAATCCTGAAGACAAATTCCAACTACATTTCAGTGGTCACTCTAAATTATGTAATGTCCAATCTGGCATGTCCAAATCTGGCCTGCATCAAAAAATCTCTATTTTTAAACTTGAAATTTTTCCATCCTCAGTTGCTAAGGGCAGGTTGCTTACCCTCAGCCTTACTGAGCTCCACAGCCAGCTGTTCCCTGGCCCTGGACTCCTCATGAAGGCGCTCTCGCAATTCTTCTTGGCACTTAAGGGACTCTGTCACTTCTTGTTTCTGTCGAAATGACTCCCGCATCAACTCTGTCTGTGTAACTTTCGCATGTTCAAGCTAAACAAGGAGGGAAAGCATACATGAAGAAAGACATTAAAGTGTTGGGAATGCCAAGGTCATTCCCCACTAAAGCTTAAAAAAATGATTTTAAAATAAAAAAATAAAAAATAAAGATTAACTCTAGACATTTATTATTTCTAGTGCATGCTGACATTAGTAGGTGGAAAAAGTCAGTATACAACTAGATTTAGCCACATACAACTTTCTGTAAGAGATGTATTCTAATTTTATTAAACAAAAAAATGCCTCTTTTGGAAATAAACCACTTTATATAAATAGAAAGACATATAAAGTTAGTGACACAGAAGCTCTTGTATTTTCCGAAGAATTTTCTGTAATTGTAGTCTATGAAAAACTTAGTATCTTTTATATTTAACATTTATGGACTGTGGACTCCTGCTATACAATATGAGAAACTAATATATGATTAATATAGTAGCATCAATTAACAAAACTATAGTGGCACAACAAAATGAAATTATTATAAGCCACGTATATAGTACTTAGTATATTAGAAAGATACTACCATGTTTTACGTTTAAAGCTTTTATTTCTGTCCATCTGTGAAACATCTATAGGACTCTATATGAATATTCAAATTTATTTTGAAAACCTGAGAATATAGAGGCATTACTCATAATTACACATACATACAGCCTCCTTAAAATGCTGTTATTGGCATGACTATATTCTTACACAATTTTTAAAAATGATAGTCAAATACATACTCAAGCCAAAGCTCTCAAAAACAGTGATCACTGTTACCAATTCCATGAAATTATAGAGAAATGCTGTCCCTGCTTTAGTTTTCTGAACTTCTGACTACCAGCACCTGCTTATGTTTTTACTTTTAAGAGAAAGAGCACTCGAATGAGCAGGAGGTGGGAATGGCGGGAATTCAGTGGGGCAGAAGCAGAGGGAAAGGGAGAGAATCTTAAGTAGGCTTCACTCACTCCTACCACACAGTGTGACATGGGGCCCTGAGATCATGACCTGAGCCGAAATCAAGAGTCAGATGCTTAAAAAACTGAGCCACTGAGGTGTCCCTGTTTTTATTTAAACAACTACCTGAGAAAAAACTGAGCTCAAATGTTTCTAATACTTAGTCCTATAACATTAACACTGTTGAAAAAACTTTAAAAAGCAGTTACCATATATATTAATGATAGGCTCACAATGTTGTAAGAATTTTTAAAATTATATATTAGTACTTAGTATATTAGAAAGATATTACCATGTTTTACGTTTAAAGTATGAATCAAAAGTAATGGTTTCTAATTTACAGTCAAATATCAATAATGTATTATTAAATCATGATTTTTAAGAGTATTTTATTCTTAAAGACTTCTCTTCATATCTTAGGATTTACCACAGCAAACAGATTTTAGAGATACTAAATAAAGATTTTTAAGTCAATTTCCAAAATATCTAGTATGCGATTATTCTTGTTTTATTTAACAGGATGTGTTAAATATTATTCACAGATTACTTGGGGATAATATGAATTTGCATTTAAGACTTGGATAATGACATAGATCTTAAATCACAAAGTATTTCCTAAAATATCCGTGATATCCTTGTTACCTCAACAAAAATAAAGCTTTATGTATATACTTTTACTTTTGACTGGCAATAATATTTTCCTTTAAATGTAGATAATATACACTGATTTTTACTAGAAGAAACAGAACCATAAGTATAAACTAATTTATATATAGCTACTCTTCTGAATATAGCCACAGCCTATATTTTCAAAACACATCAATTGCTTCTACATAGGTAGATCTGTAGCTTTTTTCTACATTACAAAATAGTTGTCTGGTAAATACATGAAGTTTCTAAGAGTTCAAAGCTCTTATTAAGAGGGACAGGAGGGTTTTTTTTTCCTTTTTCAAATTTACTATACAAACACAACAAGGCATTTAGCATTTATAACAAAATACTTGATTTAGATAAGAAAATTAAGTTTCTGCATCTAATGTTCTACTTCCTGACAAGATACAAAGCAGCCTTAAAGTACATTTAAATATTTCCATAAAACCAGAAGAAATAACTCAGTTTTACAAAACAAAAAAGTTAGAAGAATCAAATACAGTAAAGTTAGCAACCAAATTTCATTTATTATAGCAAATGGCACTTTACTGAAATAAGAGACTTCCTTCAAATGTTTATCTAAATCCTCTATTTTTTAATTTAAATTTTTTTTATTTTTTAAAGATTTCACATATTTATTGATTTATTTAACAGAAAGAGAGAGCGAGAGCACAAACAGGGGGAGTGGCAGAGGGAGAGGGAGAGGGAGAAGCAGGCTCCCCACTGAGCAGGGAGCCTGACATGGGGTTCCATTCCAGGACCTTGAGATCATGACCTGAGCTGAAGGCAAGATGCTTAGTCGACTGAACTACCCAGGCACCCTAAATACTCTTTAAAAAGCCTCTTCTAACTGGTTAAGCTATGATTTATTCCTAATACATATATCTAATATTAACAATATGAAATACACACAAATTTATATTCAGCATTTTTAAATAAAAAACTTATCATTACATTAAAAGTATAGAGTATACATTAATAACTATTCTGTCACTTTAATACAAAAGTCTCAAGAGAGGTAACAAAAAACTATTCTGAAAACCATCTGGTCTGTTAAATATTAGCTAGTGTATTATAATTAAAGCTATGAAAGTCATAAAAAGTGTTGGATAACTTGTAGTTATACTGGATAACGTGTAGTGAATCATTCACAACATACTTACATGTTAAATAAACCAGAAATGCTAACTATGCTAAATACTCAACAATGTCTGTAAAATACATTTCACATAAAAGGTAGAATACAGTATTTCCTCACAGGATTGGTGGGGATATTAAAAATAAGTTCCTTTATGAGTTAACAAGAAAATTAAAATTAGAATCCATATTTTCTTTTTCCTGGTCTTGAACTACAGCCAATATACCATATGATTTTAAACATCTCCTGACTGGCTCAATTGACTTAGCTGTTTTAAGTACTACAACACTCATTCCTTCAAATATTCCTAATATTTAATTAGGATAATATTCCTAATATTTATAATTAGAATATTTATAATATTCCTAATATTTATAATTTATTTAATATTCCTATAATATATTATAATTTCATTTTTACTCAGGATTGAGATCACAAACATATAAAAGCAAGATTCTTAAGGACAAGCAAGATCTATTTAAACAGCTTGCCTGGCATGGAAAACTGTAATACTATCTCACTCTGCTTTCTGGAATAAAAAACATAGCCAAGTTGGGGCTCTGAGACCAAATTTAGCTCTTCAATACATCCAGGATAAATGAGTAGTAACACATGAAACAATAATAAAGCAGGATTCTATTTGATTTAGCCTTACTAAGGACATTTAAAGTTCATTTCTCATGATACAGTTTTTTTTTTATGATACAGGTTTTTTAACTGTATAAAAAACTGAAAGTATAAACAAAGTATAAGAAACTAGATTTTTTATACTTACTGAATAAGGAGGGGTAGGCAGTGAAATTTTAGAAATAAGCTTTAATATGTGTCCATTTCTTTTATGAATAAAATGAAAAATAGAAGTATTAATTATTATAGAGTTATTTTCATCCAAATGTTCACATAGAGGAAAAGGATGTGGTAAAGGCACACGAGATTCAACCTCGTAAATGTCTTCATCTTGTTCTTCCAACCACGAGCCACTGAGTTTGAGAGTAGCCAAGTAGGTACCGTAAGAATCCATTCTAGTAGGTGCAGTTGCCAATTTTCCTCACTTGCTTTAACAGTTATTCTCTACATTAAAAAGTTCTTTTTAGTTTATCAAGATATACCATAGTGGTAGGAAAATGTCTTTTTAGTACCATCAAATAAGCATTAATTCATACAAATAAACAACAAAAGAAAAAAAAAACCCACAAATCTATTTTTAAAAAACTACCTTTCCATTAGTTTTGATAAAAAAAAACCCAAACAGAACAAAACAAAAACAAAAACAAAAATAAAAGCAGGCAAATACCTTCTTAACCAGAATAATTAATTAAATCCTTAAAGAATAGAAAGATGAAAATACAAGTATCTAATTAGACGAGTCATAAAACTGCTTTCAGGAGCAGATATATCTGGAAATAAGTAAGCCTTCCAAACAGAACCTGGCAGGGAAGGTCAAGGAAATCTCCATAGTAGCAGTCTTGAGAAATGTAGTTGCAACATTATTTCCGTTCTTGCTGCTTCACTCAATTCAAAAGTAAAAGCTCTTCAACTGAGCTATTCAAAGAGCCTCTCAGGCTGAGCCAAAGGATTCTAGTCAGTGTCCCCTGAGGAAAAGGTCAGAACAGAGGGTGTGGTTTCCTGTCTTTACCTATAGGTACTGACAGGTGGAATGTGAATTAATACGCCCACAAAAAAAGCTTGCCTAACAGGATCCAAGTTCCACGTCAGAGCTTTGAGAAGGGTATTTAGACAAGTTTATAATGTTTCTAAGATAAGCTAGTATTTTTCCATCCTATCAAAAAATTGCTTTAATTTGGGGCGCCTGGGTGGCTTAGTGGTTGATGTCTGCCTTTGGCTCAGGTCATAGTTCCAAGGTCCTGGGATGGAGTTCCATATCAGGCTCCCCACAAGGAGTCTGCTTCTCCCTCCCCCTATATCTCTGCCTCTTTCTCTGGGTCTCTCATAAATAAATAAAATCTTAAAAAAAAAGTTTGAATTTGAAAATGTAAAATCAAGTAGGTTTGAGTCCACATTAGCAAGTAGTTCTTAAAGTATATAGAATAATCATAATTATTTCTGGAATACTTAGTATTTCCTTTTGCTATTTCCTTAAAATAATATTCTTTTCAGCAGTCACTAGAACTAAATACAGATAGTTCAGTTATAACCTATTTCCTCATTGAATTGTTTTCAGAGTGAATGTTAAGGGAAAAAAATGCTCTTTAAAAAGCTGCATTATATGTAAGATGTTTGGTAATTACACCACTTAAGGTATCCT